CAGCATGATAGGTAATTTATTTTATTGCATTTTATAATGCCATTGTCCATACAGATTACATGCAGCTAGATCTACTGTACAAGGGTTTACCGTCTGCCAAAGCAGACACACGGAAGTTCAGAGTACAAATACACAGCAATGCTATTTCCTTTATACAGCACGAGGGATGCGGCAGCGAAGGCGGCGGCGGGAGAGAAAGGGTCACTTTATACACATCCTCCCTCCCCTCCACCCTCCGGCCCCCTCGGACCTCGTCCCACCTCCCCAGCATCACCTTCCCACCCAGTGCCAAAGAGGATGGAAAAAAAATAAAGGGGAAAAAAGGAAAAGGTTGTGGCAGGGCTGGCGCTTCCCCGGAGCAGCCAGGGGATGGGGATGCCCCCAACCCAGGCACCCACCTGGGGTCCCCCCAAGGCCATCGCGGGCAGCTCCGGAGAGCGGAGGGTCCCCGAGCCTCTGGCTCTGGCCTGTCCCTACCTTCCCCAACGCTTCCAGGACAAAAACCTAGATCCAGGGAGATCCTCTTGGGCTGGCCGGGTGTGTAAACAAAGCAAAGAAACCCTTTGGTTTAATGCAGGTTCAGCTGCTGCTTTCCCTTTGCCTCCACTGGCCTCCCCAGCAGCTCCCCAGTGCTATCAGCACCCCTTCCCTTCAAGCACCAGTTTCCGACCCCACTGGCTCTACCCATGCTGGCTATTCAGGGGAAAACAAAGAAATCACTGGGAAAAAAAAAAAGGAAAACATGGAAAACTGAGTAATTCCTTCAGTGAGAGATACCAGAAAAATGCCTTTACTTACAGAGAGGTGCCCACACCTTCCCCTCGCAGAACTGCCCCGGGGGGCCAAGAAACAGGAAATTAAAAAAAAAAAAATCCAGAAGAAAACCAAAAAGAACAATTCATGTTGGTAGGTTTAAACCCAGCATATATATATCTCAATATATACAGACATACAATTCTGCCACACATTGCGTTTGGTCCTTTATCCTTCCTTCTCCCCCCCTCCCTGCCTCCGGCGTGTGTTTGAGGTAAGACATGCAGAATTTTGTAAAATTCAAACCAGCAAAAAATAAACCAGAGGGGTGGGTGCGGGTGAGGCTGGGAAGGGACACGGTACCTGGGTTCAGATGGGACCCTGCAGAGGCGGCCGGGCCGGGCGGGGGGGTAAGAGAATGAATTAAATTTACCCCTGAGTATCAAACCGGGCACGTTTCCCGTGAAATCACCCACCGTGATTCCCATTTCAGCAACGGCCGGGGAAGAGGCATCACCTGGAGCCACAGGACTTTCCAAACCTGTGTACGTGTTTAAAGAAAAAAACTCCTTTATATTTATATATTTATTTTTATATATATAATATATATAGAGAGAGTGCTCTTCGGAGCCAGGATGGCGGCTAAAGACCTATAGGAATATACGGCGCAGAGGGGAAGGCGCCAGGTTGTCCTCGCAGGGGCTGGGGGTGATGGCGTGATGGCGTACGGGAATTTTGGCTGGACCTGTGGGGATCCGGAGGCCCGCAGCTCGCCCTGGCCCTCGGAGGCCTTTTGGGGATGTCTGTACCTCTGGAAAAGCTTAAAAAAAAATAATAAAAATCACACCCCAAGCAGGAACCGCAGTGGGTGCTGGAGGGCTCGCCAATGCCGGGCGGGCTTCGTGCCTGGACCGCCTTGGGTTTTGCTGAACCGTATGTGGAAACCAGGGGGTTGCAGAGCTGCTAAAAAATTAAATTTGAAGAGCATGAGGAAGGCGAGGGGAAGGGACTCAGGAAGAGCAAACGAAGGGGAGCAGCTACTGAAACAGCGGGGGGGGGGTGTCTGAACCCACGCAGAGCTCACAGCCCCGTGGGTGCGGGGAAGGACCTGCCCACAGAACACCCCCAGCCGTGGGTGGGAGCCGGGGCCGGCAGCACCCCCCACCCGCCGGTGCAATGGCCCGCAGCCCTCCCCGCACCCGTGCAAGCTCCCGAGCATCTGCGGTACCAACCGTGCCCGCACGCACCAGGCTGCAAAAACCTCCCCTTCTGCGGAAAGGACAAACTACACCAGTACGAGGCCAGGTCGTTCCCAGTACGAGGCCAGGTCATTCCCTCCCCAGGGATACTGGGGTGTTCCAGACACGCCGGAGCAGCACGAGGGGTGACACCGGGTGCTGGTGCTGCCCTAAGAGGCACAATTGCTGCTCGCCAGGGGGGATGCAAAGCAAAAACCCAAAAGCCCGACGGAGGCAGGCGATCCCCTGCCGACGGTGAACGGCGGCCGAGCAGCAGCAAAGGGGGGGGCCAAGGGGCTGCACCCCAACATCCATCGCGTCCACCCCTCCCCGCTCCTCCGTACAAGTAAAGCAGCAATGCGCGACGCCGGCCTCCCTCCAGCAACACCCGCCCGCGGCAGCTGTAAACTTGTTTAAAACAATAACTTAAAAGACTGAAAAGAAAAAAAAAAAAATTAAGAAAAAAAGAAAAGAAAGCAGGAAAATATGCGCTGCCTCCGGCCTCGCAGCTCTTTTGGAGGGACGGGGCTGCACCCACACTGCAAGAGATGGGGGTTTGGTTCGTGTGTCCCCCCCTTCCCCAGCCTGGGCAGGGTCTTTGGTGTCCGGCAGAGCCCGGCGGGAGCCGGTGGCGGCGGGGACGAGCCGGGAGAGGCCGGAGGGCGAGGGGAAGCGGGTGGCCTGGCAAACCTCCTCGCCCTGGTATTTTTGGCAGCAGCGACGGAGCGAGCGAGGCTGCGGCGCGGGGAGAAACACGGGTCGAGTGGAGACACCTAGCGAAGGCCGGCACGGCACCGCACGGCCACCCACGCGTGGGGCTGGGGAGGGCGGGTTTTGCAGGATTTTCTGGGGTTTTAGGGAGGGGAAAGGGCCCCCTCTGCAACACCAGCCAGGGGGGATGCTGGTGACCCCCGTTAATAGCCCCACCGAGCTGTGCCTTCCCCCCAGCCCCGGTGGCTGCCGCTTCCCGAGGGTCTCAGAATGGCCCAGACGGTGCTGGGGTGGCACAGGGGAACAAGGCTGGGGGGGTTTTGGTCAGCCTCACCACTGGCTGCAGGGGGGACCCAGGGACCCCCCACCGTCTCTGCAGCCACCTGCGTATCGAGGATGCACCAGGCAGCAAAAAGGATGATCCGAGGTATGTCCCGGGGACACGCCACGGGGCCAACAGCCCCTTGGGGATGTCACAGAGGTGACAAACAAGCACCCCCTGCCCAGGACCCGCAGCCGTGTGTTGCATTTTTAACCCAAAATGCAGCTCCCGGGGTACCAGCGCCAGGAGCCCGGCATGGGGCCGGGGGCTGTGTGCTGGGGCACTGACGCAGCCCCCACCGCCAACATCTCAACCCAGGGGACCAGGGACAGGGAGGGACGGAGCAGCGCTCGGGGTTGTTGCGGGAGAGCCCGGAGCTGGGCTCAAAAAACGAGAGCAGCTCCACATCCATCACAGCAAGTCTCCCAAGACCCCGCTGCGTGCCAGGACGGCCAGTGCCAGCCCAGCCGTGCCGGGGAAGGTGCTGGTCCCCGAGGCCAGCACGGGGCAGCCGGCAAGCCATGGCTGCCTGCTGGGAGGAGCCCGGCGCTGGGTACCCACATCACCACCACCGAAAGAAAGAGCAGGGAGAAGAGGGGTGTTTGGTTGTGTTGTTCTCGTTATTATTAATATTTCTTTTTTTTTTTTTTTTTTTTTTTTGGCATTAATACCATCTGTTCACCTGAACTACGGACCTTCTGTCTCTAGAAATCTTTTGGTATCTTCCCATCTGGACGCACACGCACACAAAAGGATAATTAAAAGAAAAGATGAAAGCGGGAGCCCCAGCGGCAGCAGGCTCAGCTCGCTGGCCACGGCCAGGTTCAGCCGCCACGGGGTTTCACCGGGGTCGGCTTTGCTACCAGCAGGATGGCCGAGCAGCGGCTCACTGCCGGGCTCTGCCCACGCCAGCTCCTCTGCGGGTGCCGCCCAGGAGAAGGCTCGGCGGTGGTGGATGCTGCCTTCCCCGCGCCATTACCCGTCCTCGGAGACCCCGTCCCGGCTTCGGAGAAGGAACCGGGCGCGCAGGGGAGCGGGAGCCCTTTCCCTGAAGTCGAAGTCGGGTCAGTGGCCGTCCCTGCGTGGGCTGGGAGGGTGTCAGCCGACGTTGAGAAGGGAGCAGGGAGCTGTGTCCTCGCTGCCCGGCGCTGGTGGTGGTCATCACTGCTGGGTGCCACCAGTCCCCCCACCAGCAGGGACTGGGAGGGGGCTCGGGGAGGGTGGCCAACCCAGGGCCGGCTGCTCTGCTCGCCGGGCAGTTTAGCAGCCCGCCGGAGGCGACGAGGCAAAGGGGACACAGTCCCACCGACGCGCCGGTCCTCGTCCTTCCCCAGCCGTGAGATAACGGTGCAAGCCCGACATCCAAACCATGGCAGAGGACTCGCCCCCGTTTCTGCTGTTTCTTCCCCCGAAGCTGGGCGGAGGCAGCACGTGGGCAAGGTCCACGGTCCCTCCTAGTGCAAAACCCACTGGGGGACGGAGAGACGACGGCGGGCTCCTGCCATCGCCTTCCCTCCCCGGGGCGGTCGTTGGCGGAGGCTCGAGCATCGCCGGACGGCAGAGCACCGCAGGGGAAGAGGGGACAGAGGTGCCTTCCCTGTGCCCACCGTGCACGGGGAAGGAAGGAGGGACCATTTCGGACAGAAACAACCTACCATCCTCGTTCACCAGTCACTAACCAAGGGAGGAGGGGAGAAAAAGTCCAGCTCTTGGGTTTTTGCTTCTCGTGTCGCGGGATGTCCCCCGCGGCAGGGGTCGGTCAGTCACCGGGGCTGCAGCGCGGGGCAGTGGGGAGCGTGAGGGACGCGCCGTCGGCAACAGGTTGTTGCACCAAGGAAACCCTTTTGCTTTGTGGAAGTGCCTTTGAGAAACAGGTTAACGCCGAAGGTCACCTTGGGGAGGTGGGAGCCGTCGCTTGGTCTCCGGCCGGGAGGGTGGGAAGGGTTTGCCCCTCGGTGGGGAGGAGGAAGGGGTCCTTAGGACAAGTCTTCCACTGGCAGCTCCTCCTCCAGGTCCCTGTCGTCGGGAATCGTCACATTCTGGTTGGTGGTGGCCATCAGCGAGACAGGTCTGCTGTCGTCCTCCGCCTCAGCTGGTTCCTCCTTCACGTGCACTGGATGGCTGCAGGGAGGGAAGCCTTCAGCCTCGGGGAGCCGATCCCCCCGACCGCAACCCCATGAAGCTCTCGGTCCAACCCTCCCGGTCTCACCTAGGGGACAGGAGCCACGGGAGGCAACAAGCACCTCCCGGTGCCCAATGTGCCACCGTCCCTTGGCTCCAAACCCTCCAACAACCCAGTAACACCCACCGGCACCGTCCCTCTCCCCCTCGCCCCCGGCCAGGCTGACCTGTACTGCTGCGGGGACAGGCGCGGGCTGTTGCTGCCGTTGCTGTTGACCTGCTCCACGGTGCTGCTCACGTCGTCGTGGCCCACGTGCAGCATGCCGCTGGCGGAGCTGGTGTTGATCATGGTGGGGCTGTTCAGCAGCGGGAAGCTGCTCTCTGCCAGCGCAGCCTGCAACAGAAAGCGACGGCGGCTCGAGGCACGGAGGACGCGAGACCGGGAACCGTGCAGGTGGGGAAATGTGGCCGCGAGGGAAAACGGGACCACGGAGCGACAAAGGTTTAGTGCCCCCGCATCCCTGCCGGGGATGGGACTGGATCCTTACCTGGTAACTTGCATTAAGTGCTCCGTAACCGAGTCCTGAAATCATGTTTTTGACTAAAGTCGGACTCCTGCAGAAAGAGAGAAAGCAGGACGATGCACGGCTGAGCGCTCCCGGCCCGGGGATGGGGGGTCTGGGAGCAGAGGTGGGCGCGAGCGCGGCTCCCAGGCTGCGTCCCGCGGGAGAGGAGGACCCACCCTGTCATCTTTGGTGGCCTTCGCTTTTGGTACTCGTGCTCGTCGACGGTCCAGACAGCTCCCTTGACGTTCTCCACGCGCACGAAGCACTTGTGCAGGCTCAGGTTGTGGCGGACGGCGTTCTGCGGGCAGAGCGGGCAGGAGAGCTCAGCGGCGCGGCCCTCGCCCCGCCACCCGGAGCCCTCCTCTTCCTCCCGATCCTCCTCCTCGCCCAGCCCCTGTGGGTTCCCGTGGCTCTGGGCTGTCCCGGCCACACTCGGCTCGTCTACGGCCAAATGCTCTGCAAAGCCACCCGGGGATGCTACAAATGCTCACTCACCCCATCAGCACCGAGAGGGTTTAGGAGTTGAGCCCCCAGGCCACTCGTGGGACACGACCCCCCTTTCGTGGACCTTGGCCAGGTGCCGAGGAAGATGGGGACAGCGTGGGACAAGGGACAAGTCACACCAGCAAGGAGCCGGGAGCAGAGCCACCCTCTCCGCTGCAGCTCGCTCGGCGATGCTCGGCAAAGCTGGCTAATCTTTTCCTTTCTTTTTCTTTCCCCCCCCCCCCCCCGTTTTGGCCCTTTCCCTCCCTTTCTTCTTTACATCGACCATCTTTACATTTCTAAATGTAAAATAAAGAGACACACACGTAGGCAGACAGCACAGCCCCGAGAGATACCAGCTCCCTTTTCCCCTTCCAACTCCCTGCCATTTGCTACTGCCCCTATTTCATTACCAATTTTAATTTGCCTCTAATTAAATCCTGTGTATTTTTCCGACTCACTTGCTAATCCATGAGGGAGGCAGGAGGCTGGAGTGGAATCTCTCCGAGCTATAATTACAAAGGGCCTAATCACGCCGGGGCTCTGCCTTTGAATAAATTTCCTTGCATTAAGGTTCTCAGATTCTCTGCCTTGCAAATGAGAATGACCCCAATTTCAGGAAGTTGGCCTCGGAGGGTTTTTTTTTTTATATTTTTTTTTTTTATTTCGAGTCCTGATTCGTGATGAGAGACTAATTCGTTACGCTAAAACATTAACAGCAATTTAAAAGGTCGAACGGGGGCTGTATAAACAAAGGAGCTGGCCAACACAACAAGGCAAAAGGAGACACAAGGACTGAACCCCCCCCGCGCTGGAAAGTGTTAAGAGTTCCCAGAAACTCATCAAATTGCGCTGTCCCCCCTTTTGCTTTTTAATTTAAGGACAAAACCAAACAAAGCTGGGCTCCTTCCCTCGTCCTCCATCCCTCCCTCCATCCCTCCATCCTCCGGCAGCTGCCCCGTGCCCGCTGCCCGTTGCCCACCCCGGCATCCCCGGCTCTGCCATCGTTCCCGGCGCTGCCGCGATGCCCCGGCGAGAGCCGGCTCATGCGGTGGCAGGCAGCGGGGACGGGCAGGGTCCTGCTTCTCTCGCTGTTTGGCAGAGCCAGCCCGAAGGGAAAACTTTTCCCAGGAGCTGGTAGCTGGGGAAGGAGGTTTGGGCACAGTCGGTGCTGTTTGATGTGATTTTTTTGGGGGGGGGGAACTGGGAACCCTTGGGTCGCACCAGGAACCTGCTGGTTGGCAGCCAGCCCAGCTCCTCGGGCGATGCTTGGTGCGGTGTAGAGCCAGGTCCCCGGGTCCCAGCCCAGTACCATACCCAAAGGGATATGCTCCATTTGGGACATGCCCTGCCCCGGGGGCAGAAGCATCCCTCGTCCTCGAACCCCATTGCTGGCTTCACCCAAAGAGGAGAGTCCGGCTGCACTCAGCACCGCGCAGACAGACATCCCGGGGAGCTGGAAATCCAAAAGGGACCCCAGGCATCGCTGGGCTCCCGGACCAGCAAGGGAGCAGGATGAGCCCCCGACCCCTGCTCTGTTCTCACAGCATCTCTGCAAATATCCCACTCCCTGCCCGTGCCTGGGGGTCTGAAGCCCACCTGGGGCTGGGTCCTGCTGCTGCCCTTGAACCCCCGTCCCCTGGCGAGCAAACACAGGACTTCCTCCCCTCGCCAGGGCCGGATCCTGCCCCGCATTCCCCTTCCTCTTTCCTGTAAGCGCAGGGGACTCCTCGTCCAAACAAAGCCCTGATTAAAGGCAAGAAGCGTGGCAAAGCCGAAACCTTTCCTGCACGTGGAGATGCAGCCCCAGCCCAGCAGTGCCCACGTCCCCCCTTTCCCCCCGCCCCGGTGACACCCCCCCTGCTTTGAGGCACCGGCAGGTATGTGTTTGCAAAGGCAAAAGTGGAGATAAAATAAATCCTGGCACTGGGCAGGATGCAATTCAGCATCACCAGAGCCTGGGATACCCCTGGTGCTGGGTGATGGGCAGGGTGCTGGTCCCAGGACACAGAGGAGGTGCCAGGCGAGACCCCCCCCGACGTGGGAATCCTCCCACCTAGTGTCAGGGGTGGCTCCCCTGCCTCATCCTAATGTGGCTTTTGTATTTCGACAGAGTATTTGTTCAGTGCCAGACTTGGTTGCTCTGTTTGCTTCTCATCTTTGCCTTTTCTAATGATGTTTGCTTTATGCCCCCGGCCCCGCTCCTCATGCCGTGCTGGGGGGTCTCCCCGTGGGCCCCCACGCCGCACCGCGGCTCTGCCCTGCCGTGGGGATGTGGTACCCACCTTGGCCCCTGGCACCCCTGCCCCATCCCGGGGGGCAGCTATGGCAGGAGATGAGGGAGAAGCTGCAGCAGAAACGGTGGTTTTCTGAAGAGCGGAAATACATTATTTTTTCCTGCGTATCCCCCTCCTTCAAAAGAAGCCTGGCCTTGGACGCTGAAAGTTGTGAAGGGAATTATTTCCCCCCCAGCTCTTTTTAATCCCCTGCCATCCCTTTTGGTGGTGGAACAGGAAAAAATAAAGAGCAGCCAAAAGGGAACCTGAAGGGCTGGGGGATGCCCCTCTGAGACATCAACTCTGCCCTTGGGTAGCATGGGATACGGGGGAACCACAAAGAAAAAACCCCAAAACATTTACTCCTTTCAGCTAGTAAGAGGGCAGGAAAAAGGCATTTTCACCTGCCATTATCTCCTTCCACAGATGGGGAAACCGAGGCACGGAGCAGGTAAAGTGCTGCCCCGGACAGCCCCTGCTCTGCCCCACGGCGAGACACCATCCTGGGACCAGCGACAGCCACACCAGGCTCTCTGCCCCAAAGTTCCCCATTGCTTCCCACCCTCTCCCCAAACCCGGGGGTGTCCCCCCGGCCCGGCCGGGGTGCAGCGGTGCAGCCAGCGCTGCTCCCCATGCCGTGCTTGCAGTGCTGCACGCGTGCCGTGAGGGGGACTCCAGACTGATGCAGTGTCACGGCCAGCACCAAAAACCAGCCCGGGCACCTCTGACCGCTCCTGTCCTTCTCCTTCCCACTGCCATCCTCCCGCTCGGCGTGTGGGGATGCTCGGGATGGGTTGTGCCAAAGCTGAGGGCCACCCGTAGCGCTTTGGAGCCGAAACGCCCGTGATTCACCCAAAGTTTGCTGCGGAGAAGCAAACCCCTGCTGCAGTCAGCTCTGATCTGCAGCAGCAACACACGGGGGCCCTGGGCTCCAGAATAACCGATTCCTCCTTAACCCTTTCAAAAATGCACTACCTTGCTTGCACCTCGCTTATTCTAATTTCTTGTTTGTTTTTTGTTAGCTTCCTTCTGCCACTTCACTTCTTGCTGCCCTGAGCAGGAGGAAGCTGTGTCTCGGTAAATACATGCAGCAAGAAACAATAAATAAATCTTCCCTGGTCAGGGCAATAACTGCTCCTTCTCACAACCACCCCGCTCCTCTGAGATGTGTTTTCTCAGTTCTCGATTTCTAAATAACCAAGGGGGGAGCAGCCTTGGCACCTGAGCGCTGCCCCAAAATTCACACCCATCAGCCCAGGCCAGCGACAAACGGCTCCTCGGTGCCAAAAACTTTCAATACCTGCCCAAACACCACCACGCACCGGGTGGGGGGGGACCCGACAGACACAGGCACCCACTCGGGGTCTCGCAGCAGAGCCACGGGTGCTCCCACTCGCCGACGGTCTCCGCAGCCACCACCGCTCTCCCTCCATCCCCACGGACCGCAACCCGCATCCCCGGCCACCGCTTCTCACAGCCCGGCTGTGGCACCTCGCGTTCGCGGCGTGCCGCCCGCCCCCGGGTTATCGTTAACCTTATTTGCTATTTCGAGTGTCTTGCTCTTTTCTCTGCCCTCCTCCCGGCACCAAGGCTCCACAGAAAGCCCCAGGTTCCTACACCGTGGCCCTTTGCCATATCCTACTGCATGGATGATGTGTCCCCAGAGACCGGGGATGCGTTTTGGGTGGAAAAACGTGGGATTTATCCACAAAATCATTTCCTGCACCATCTCAGAGCTGTGCAATGAACTGGTCATTTACCACAGATGCCCACAAAGTTGGAGCATCTCCCGCAGCAGGTGGGATGGGGTGAGCCCCGGGTGGGATGGGGTGAGCCCCACGGCGCTGAGCAGGGCTGCTCTCACCTTCCAGGTGGCCGTGTTCCTTCGGAAGTAGGCAAACATCCGCGTGAACCAGTTATAGATTTCGTTCAACGTTAGCTGCCTGTCGGGGGTCTCCAGGATGGCCTGGGAAACCAGAGAGGGGACAAGAGCATCACTCGTGACGCCCCGGTGAAGTTCAACGTCCGTCCCGTGGAGAGGCACGAGAGGCAGAAATGGGGGTTCAGCAGGCACGGGAGCCCCCCCAGGACTGAGAAAGTGGGGGAGAGTGCGGCTTTGCCCGAGATGCCCGGCAAGCAGGTCTCAGGGTGCAGAGCTGAACCCCGCGGGCGCAGGGAGCCACTCACCTGCCGGATGAGCGAGGCGTACGTGAAGGGCGGCCGGACGTCTGCGTTCTTGTAAAACTCGTGATTCTGTGCAAGTTCTGGAGGGGGGACAAGAAACAGGGGGGCGGGGGGTGAAGGGACCCACTTTGGGACCCAGGGACCGCATGATGGAGGGTGCTGAGCCCCACCCTGGAACTCACCTGAAGATATTGGGGTGCAGAACTTCTCCGAGTTTCTCCTGCGGATGGGCCCCACGTTGTGTAAAGTGGAAGAGCTGATGACAGAGGGGCCCTGCCGCAGGGGGGTGATGGGCGCCGTGGCGGAGGTGGGGGGATGAGGTAAGCCGTCGGGGAACGTGTCAGAAGTGCTCTTGGAGAGGGTGGCACTGGAGACCAGGTTCAGCTGCACGGACAGGCGGAAGGGAGGACGGGCGGTTGGGCACCGGTGTGGGGAAGGCAGGGACCGGGAGAGCCCCCGGCACACCGGCAGCTCGGCAGGGCTGAGCCGGCTCACGCCGCAAAGCGGGCGGCGAAGGGCTTGCAGCGGGGGAGACTTGCTGGGCTTGGCAGGGATGGGATGCAACTATGGGATGGGATGCAACTATGGGATGGGGATGCAACTGCAGGATAGGATACAACCATGGGATGGGGATGCAACTGTGGGAGGGGATGCACCCACAGAATGGGATGCAACCACAAGACGGGATGCATCCACTACACGTCCGAGCTGGTGGAGCAGCACAACACGCCGACGCAGGCTGCGTTTCACTCCCACCTTATGCCTTGCACCGGCACAAGGGACCAGGCTACGTGTGCCGGAGCGGAGTCAGGGCATGCCCATCCCGGGGAGCCTGTCCAGCTGGGCTGCGGTGCCCATGCGCAGGGCAGGAAGGGGATGGCAGCCAGCGGCAAGGGGAAAGGGGAGGAGAGGGGGCGGCCGCAGGGACGTACAAGGGCAGGAGGGGGATGCACGCTTACAGGTTGGCTGAAAGGCTTTGGCTCTGAAGGTCTCATGTGAAGATGGGCCATCATTGCTTGGAGACGCTCGCTCTCCTTTGCCAGCTGTGGGAGGCAAGAAGCAGAAGGGAGACGGTCAGGCAGTGCCGGCAGTCACCGCGGAGGTGCCCTGGGCCTGGAGGAGGTGCCCACCAAGCCCCCAGCCCTGGTTCTGGGCAGGGAGCATCCTCCAGCATCCCCGCAGGAGCCACCTCCTCCCTGATGCTGAGCCCTCCCAAGAGCCCCATCAGGGCTGTGGCTCTGCGGGGGGCTGCGGCACCCATCGTGGGGGGCACAGGGGCCGCCGCTGCTCCGGCTCCGTGTGTGCAGTCAGATGAAAAAAATCTATGGTGAAATGGAGTCACTTCCCATGCCTTCAGGCTGCCATCCACCAGCACGGCTCCATCCTGGCCACACACCGCAGCCCTCGCTCTCCCTCCTGGGTGCTCTTGTCCCTGTGCCCCGGCGCCTGCCGTCCCCATCCCCTTCGCCCTCCTCCAGCCTCTGCTGTCTCCCGCTCACCAGCAGCTCCCTGTCCATCTACCCGTCCCTCTGTCCGTCCATCCATCCGCCCGGATGTGCAACATCGCTTTAATTGTGCACTCCCGCCTGTTTACTCCCCAGAGTGCGGAGAAGGGTGAAATATTCACTGTGGCACCAGGAGAGATTTTGAACCCGGCGGAGGCGATGGGATCTGACACCCGCTCTCTTCCCGTCACCTTCCCTTTCCACCACGACCCCTCAAGCTTGGGGCTCGGCCACATCCCCGCATGCTGCCGGCTCCCCGCTAGCCAAGCCCCCTCCCCGGGCAAGCGCCGGAGCTGGGAGTCGGGCGAGGAAGGAGTTAAAGGCAGGAGCTGGAGCAGAGTTTGCTGCAAGTTTGGAGCAGCTCGGATGCTTTTGCGCTGTCGTGGCGCTCATTAGAGCTGACAGGTCTCCCCTCGTGATGCAGACGCTCTCCACCGGCACAGCGGGAGCTCTGCGCTGAAAACTTTATAATTGGTAGCTCCGGTGGCAGGTTCTCCTCTCTGCACACGCAGCCCTTCAGCTTTTTTTTCCCCTTCCTTTCCCTCCCCTCTTTAAGCCCCAGTAATTGCTTTCAACCTCTTGCTTTAGCGAGGGCTGGGGAGCAGGATGTGATCGCATGGCTTTGCCCAGGCGGCTTGGCAGCCTCCCCACCTGGGAAGGTTTTGCTGTGTCCCCCCCACCCCACAGCCCCCATTATAGTAACTCCAGGCAGAGGGTCTCCCAAGGCTGCCGCACAGCGTGGCCCACTGCCCCCCGGGGCTGGCGTCCCCTGCGATGATACCCACGGCCACGCACAGTGATGGGCACAAACCGCTCTGAGCTCCTGCCAGCCCCTGGCCGAACAGCCGGGCACCCAGGCACCGTCATGCCACGGGGGTCTCGGTGAGCAACCCTCTGACAGAGACCCCTGCCCCGTCCCGCTTCCCTCCTCAACTGCTTTCAAGTCCCAAGATGAAAACCCTCCATTTCCTCCTATTTTCCCCACTCCCTTCGCTATTAACCGAATTATGCACAACACATCGGGGAGTCGGAGACACTGGGAAAGACACTATTTCAAGAACTAGCTTTCCAAAAATAGCACCCTGAAGTTGGGCTCCAAAGACCATCCTCAGCCACTGAATTAAGTGGCCTGATTTCCAAAGAGCCCAGCAGCCCCGTGGCTCTCGCTGCGGCGGCACGGCTGGGCACGACGGCTGGAGCACAGCTCACGTCCCGCCTGTGGGCATGGACCCCACCAGGCAGCACATGCCTTCCAGGTCTGTGGCATCTCCTCGGACCCACAGGGACACTTTGGGCAGGAGGGATGGCTTGTCCCTTCCTCCAGCCCCATCATCATTGTGCAGGGATGCTGGTATCAGACGGGGAACCAGTCTGAGGGTTCCCCAGGTCTTGATCTCCACCAGGATGTGGCCCAGGGCCAGCACTCCCATTTGGGAAGGATGCTTAAAATGAGTCCCTGGGGCAGCTGGTTATCTCACTACGGTCCCCGACCTTGCTAATCCCCTCCTGCAGAGAGCAGCCAAGACACAGCACGCAGAGATGGAAAGGAGACGGCTTTTTAAACCTATGTCCTTTGAGGCTGAGGCAGCACCCACCTGTATTTCCAGCTGCTGTACCACTTGCATCTGGACTCGACACTGGGCCGTGCTTCGGTCATCAAGTGCATGTTCTGTATTGAGGTGTCTGGGGAGGAGAACACCGGGGTTTATGCCCGGACTTGCCCAAAATGTGGCCCCTCTGCTGGGGCCACACCTGGAATCAGCCCCAACCTGAAACCCCCTGTACCGCAGCAAAGCCTGGGGATGCCCCGGGCACTGCTGCCCAAAGCGTGATGAGCAGAAGGGAAACTGAGGCATGAAGGAGGGCAAGCAAACTGAGCTGTGCCTCCTCCCCGACCCTGGGCTGGAGGGCAGCCGTGGACAACCAGCCCTGCCCATGGCTCCTGCGGTGTTCAGGAGCAGTCACTGGTTGATGGAAAGTCCTTGAGAAAGCTGCTGGCAGGAGGTGTCCAGGAGGACCTGAGGAGCAGGTTTCCAGCACAAAGGCGGCATTATGGAGGTTTAGTTACGCCCTCTAAGGAAATCCCCGAGGCGGAAGGTGACATTTCCAGGATGCTCCTCATCCTACTGCTTTCGTGCCTTATGTTTATAAGGCACTTTATGTTTACAAAGCACAAGGACCTTTGGTCCTTGCTGCCCTCCCTCCTTCTCGGGGAGGGGAAGGGCTCCCAGCAGAGGCAAGCAGCCAGTGATGGGGACATCACTTGCTGCAGAGACACGGACATCCCGGCATCACCTTGTGGGGGTCCTCGCCCCTGGACCCAGCAAAGCGGCAGCCTGGGGACGCATCCAGCCCCGAAGACGCCACGTGGCCAGGCCATGTCTTTGCTGGGGTGGGTGCAAACCTGGGGGGGGTCCTCACCAGAGGAGTGGGACAGGTCGGAGGGGGGATGCAGGGCAAACTGTACCACGGCCACCCCCGAAACACCCCAAAAGGTGGCACCTGATGCTGGAAAACACACAGGTGCCCCAGGGCCGTGGGCCAATGCTCTCCAGGACCGAGACTGAGATACTTCTGCTGAGACATCCCAGGAGAAGGTGCCTCAGGAGTATCTACCCTCAGTCCGGATGCAGAAGACGGCGGAATCTCACCCAGCTGTTTGCAAGAGACTTCCAGCCCCAACTTGTAAAAACAAGTTAGGTAACTGGGACCAGCTGCCAAGCCTGTATGTGAGCAAACCCCACTGGTGTCTCAGCCCCGCTCTGCAGGGCTTCAGCTGGACCAAGCTGCCTGCTCCTCTCCCCTCATGGCAGACTGAGGGCACAGCTGTTTCTCCAGGGAAAAAGCTGTCGAGAGCCTAGGCTGTGCTGAGCGGGAATGAAGAGGTCTCCCACTGACCCTCACAGGCTTTTATAAACCACTGCTCAAAAGATGCACTGCCCCTTTCCACCCTAAAGCTGAGGCTTTCTGAGCTACTCCATGGAGGTGATGCTCAGAGGAGGCTTGAAGCTGGTGCCTGGACCCAAAACAAAGTCCATGCTACAGCTGGGGTCAGCCTTTGGGAGCTGGAAGTTTTCCATCTGTCTGTCCCACACCCCGACACTCGCTCACATTGGCGGAGAGGGGACAGAAACACTTCACTAGTGCTGTTGGGGAGGCTGCCCCTCGGGAAGCTTGCTCCTGCAACACTACGTGTGCTTGGGGGGGGTCAGGCAGATGCGACGCGGGGCGCAGGGACCCTACAGCCCCGGCCAGCGCAGCAAGGCTCTCCCAGCACCGTGACCCAGCCCCGGCTGTCCCCTGTCAACCCCAGCTCCAGCTTCCAAACCAGAGCTTGCTTATCTGCCCCATGCCATGAACACAAGCCTGGAGGGGTGGGAGGAGATGTCTTATCTAGGTTCACCCCAAGTCACAGGCAGAGGAAGGAGGATGCAGGAGCCTGACTCATTCACTCAGTGGCCACCAGGCAATGCTGCCCCAGCCTTCTCAGGCTGCCTTCGCACCTCCTCATCCTCCTGTGCAAGGCCTCTGCCCAGCTCCTTCCCTGGGAACGAGGAGGCCAGCGCGGTCTGCGGGATGCTCCCACTGGAGCCAGCCCCAAGTGCGTGGCGGCGGACGGGATCAGTTTGTAAAAACCCAAAATCTCGCTGATGGAGAGCGAAGCAAGCGCCGGTGCATCTCGGCTGCTGCGCCGAGCAGACAGCCGGAGAGGCGGGGGGGAAGGAGCAAGCAAACCCGTCAGTTCCTTCTGATGTCTTTGCTAAAAATCCCGGCTACAAAGAGATCTAATTGCAAATGAACTAATTAAGTAAACCTCTGACGAAGCGTGAAAACAATTTGTTTGACCCTGACGCTAGCAGAGGGCTCTTCGACAGCAGAGTTAATCAGTCAGCGCCGGAGCCCACAAGCGGTGTCAGCGGGCTGCCGCGCCGCCATCTGCTTCCTCCTCTCCTCTCGCCCCCCAGGAGGGGAGCTGCAAACTCCCCTCGCCTGCTGCCTGCGCCTGCCCACTCCTGCCCGCTGCATTGGGTCTCTTCTTCTTTAGCAGTAATCCCTGGTGTGTTTTTTTCTTTTGCATCGGGCCCCCCTGGCTCTGGGCAGACAGACTTTGGGGTGTCTGGACCTATTTCCAGGGTCTCCCCCTCCGCCAGCCCCATGCTGTCCCAGCCTGAGACCACGGGCTCTTCCCTTCTCTGGGAAAACCTCCCCCAAAAAGGGGAGCACTTACTTGACAAACTGTCCCAAGTCCTCACAGAGGGTTTCGCAGCCGGGCCACTTGCACTCTCCGTGGCCGTAGAGCGGGTGGGAGCCGGGGGTCTCTTCGTGGGAAGAGCTGAAGAAGAGGAAAAGGGACCGTCAGATGGGACAGCTGTGATGCTCCGGTGTTCCCATGTACAGGGCCAGCCCTCGGGGACCCACGGGAGACCCCACAGCAATGGCCCCCTGTCCTCTGTGGGAACACGGGCACAGCGAAACAGCGACAGGACTTATTTATGTGGTGGGCAGAAACCCCCCAACCCTCCCAACCCTGTTGCCAGCCCTGCGGGCGACAGATCCTGGCCCCTTCCACCTCTCCGGGGGTAAAAACACAAAGTGCCAGAGCCCGACCCGGCTCTACCTGTCCCTTCTCGGCGTGTGCATGGTGCTCTGTCCATTGGGCAGAGGGTGATGGGAAATGGGAGGCGAGACCTTGGCGGCCGAAAACGAGGTAGAGTTGGAGGTGTTGGTGGTGAGGTCGAGACCTTCTTGCTTAATGCTGTCCTCGACGGGCTGGGTAGCCGTGACCTCCTTCCAGAGCTGCTGGAGGTCCGAGGGACACACAGCTACGGCGCAGGGAGAAAGTGCCCGCCGTCAGCGGCGAGAAGGAGCAGCACCCACTGGCACCCATGCACCAGGCTGGTTCGGGACCCCACGGGCTCCCTCCCTGCCCGGCTGGTGCAGCTTGGCTCCCTGAAGCTCAGGCAGCCCGGCACGGACCGTGCGTTGGGAAATCATCACCCAAAGCTGGGCACAGCCCTCTGTGCCGGCAGCCGGGGAGAAGAGGCTGCCTGACCCCATCGGGAAGCCCAAAACAAGCCACCCGCAGCACCCGGGAACCCCGCAGAGCTGTCCCCGGAGGAAAGGAGACCCCAGCACCCCGGCATCCTCCTGCAGGAGGAAGCCGGGGGCTCAATCCTGCAACACAACCCAGCTCAGACTCCCCCAGGCTGCTCCGGCTGTTAATGCAATCCGGCCCCAAACTTTAGATGGATGCATTAGGAAAAGCAATGCCCCAGCCCCCTCCCCGCAGCCTTCCCTCGCCCGGAGCAGGGCGAAGGTGCAGCCGCAGGGTCCCCCAGCACTCTCCCCGCCCCAGGCAGGGGTCCTTACCTTGGGGCAGGGTCTGCAGGGGCACGGTGCCCTGTCCCGGCGGGAGGCTCACCAGCCCCTGGCGCTGCAGGTTTAACAGGTGCTGCTGCTGGAGCTGCTGCATCTGCAGGAGCTGCTGCTGGAAGGCCAGCTGCTTGTTCCCTAACGGCTGCCGGGAGACAAAAGGGAGAAATCAAAGCACGTTATTTCCAGCCTCGCAGCAGAAGCCTCGCAAGGGAGGCAGGGGCTCGGCGGCGAGGGATGCCCGCGGCGGCGGGACCGTGGCCGTGCGTGCCTCCGTCCTGCTGCTGGGCCTGCTCAGCTTGCGGCTGAGCCGGACGGAGGCTTTGATCTATCGGAAGAGGAGGGGAAGAAAAGGAAAGGGGAAGGGAAAAATAAAGCACTGAAAAGAGAGGGAGCGAGCAGAGCCGGGGGCTTGCTCAGAGCAGAGACCCAGCTCTGCCTGCAACGCGGGCAAACCTGCAAACCCGAGCCGTGGGGTCCCACGCGGGGAGGCTCAGCCGCAGGGCGAGCTCCCGCAGGCACCGAGCATCGCCGAAGGAAAGGGGGCTCCCAGCACCCAAAAGGCATCCTGGACGCACAGCATCCTCCTTTAAGCAGGGAAACGGTCCCTATTTGCCAAAAAATGACCATTACGAGCCCCTTCTCGTCTACAGGTGCCCAGCGCCAGTACCGGTGCCCCCACCCCAGCCACGAGCATCCCCCAGGTAGGCGACCCTCCCACCCATCCCCAGGAGCCGGCCGCGCTCTGACCGGCACGGCTGGCCCTAAACTAGTTAGGCAGGACAGGTCCCTGGGGAGGCACCAAGAAATCCATGAGAATTAACTGAAGGGGAGAGAATTCAATTAGGGATGGGGACAGGCAGCTGCTAATCTGAGCCGGCCACGAGAGGGGAGCTGCCCCAGGCCTGCCTGGCCTCATTAGCGGGGCAGGCGTCTCCGTAACCCCTTGAACCCCTCTGTTTGCGCAGACGTTATTTGCAGGTTGCGAGGAGCCGGGCTGGCAGGCAGCGCAAGCTGGCTGTGCCGCGCTGACCGGCCCCAGCAGCAGCCCAGCCTTTCCACGGCAGCTCCGTTATCCTAAGCAAGAAAAGTGCTGGGGTCCCTCTCGGCAGAGCGAGCCCCCGCCTCGGCGGAGCACATCGGTCAAGCCCGTGCTAAGGCGCTTCCCCCCTGATCTTGCTGCACTCGTCAGCGGGGGCACTTTGCAGCCCCATTGCTCGGCCGAAAAAGAAGTATTTTCACGTCCGTGTTCTTGCTGATGAGTGCAAAAGCTTTTTTCGTATCTTCTGGCTGGGTCTGAGCATGGTGGGGATTCAAGCCCCGGTGCACCAGGGCTCCCATGGACCTGGCACAGCCCCACCTCGCTCTCTCCAACATCCCTGAGGCTGCATCTCGCTCTCTGCTCAACAAGGAACAGCAAAGAGAATCTCCGTGGCAAATCCAGTACACGGCTTAGTTTGGAATCAGCACGTGTTGCTGTACCCGAAGCAGCACCCCGGGCCTCGCGGGATACAGGTGGTCCCCTGCAGATGCTGTCGATGCTGTGGCTTTGTGAAACGGAAGGCGAGGATGAGCTCCAGGCACTGCCCTGCAAAATCCCTGCAGTCTGCAATGTAAGGCATGACTGTGAGTCCTGTCTAGGGCACAGAGAGAGTTTAAATCTGGTTTCATCAGTCTCAGAGGGATGTGCGGACTCCTCCCTGTCCTGTCCTGTCCACCTCTTGGCCACAGTAGAATTGTCTCCTCAGAGACAAGTCCAGATTCTCTTTGGCTTTGCCTCAGTCCTGCACCTCTGGCGCTTGAAGATAAAGGCACAAATCAAAGAAATTTCCGCTCAGTGAAGAGAAATCCCTGCGCTCACCCTTGCTCCCAAGCAAGGTGCTGAGCCAGGAGGGCTTCAGGCCATGGGACTGGACGAGACCACGGCCCGTAGGACAATGGAGGAAAAAAAAAGCAGGACCAGGCTGTGTGCCCGAGGGTCTTAACAAAGGCAGCGCTGTCCCCCACGGCGTCCCCATCCCCTGCGAGGGAAAGCTCTGCCACCCCGTGGGATGGACACTCATGTCCTTGCCTTGGTTAGAAACGGCAGCTGGGATGGGATGGGATGGGATGGGCTTCTCCTCCTCTTCCCGGCTCCGCTGCCACCCTCCCCGGGGGGCCCGGGGCAAGCCTGGGCTCCGCGCAAACACAGCCTCATTCACGGCACTTCCAGGCTGCGGAGCAGGAGGAAATTGGGAGCGGATGAAGTCATGAGGATCCCCGGGGCACGTCGCCGGCGCCTCATATCCCGGCTGGGATCTTCCAACCTGGCCTCACCGGAGCTGTGGCTGGCAGAATCAGACCCCGCTGAGCCCCCGGGGGACCGGGTAGCCCTGACCCATGTGTGGTTCTGGCAGGGACGATGTTGTCCACGTTGAACCTGCACCTTCACGTGCTCCAAATCCACATGTGCATCCTTCCAGCTTCACTGGACCACGAACACGGGGACCAGCCTCAGGAATATGAGCCCTGGTGCCCGGCGGATGCACAAACGCCTGGGCTAAGCCAAAACAAGGACCGCTTCTCTCTGGGGAAGCCAATTTGCCAGTCCCTAGAGAGCAACCGCTGCCCCGCAGAGCCAACAAACTGCCCGGGCTCAAAACCACTGAGCGCGACGGGTGAAGAGGTGCACCCACGTGCAGACCCACCCAACAGCACCCACCAGCCCGGGGGCTCCGAGTCAAGAGTTTGCCCTGGAGAAGATGGGGCAGCGAGAGCCTGACTTTCAGCCCCAGCCTTATCAAAAACCTCACTCCCCGGCCATTTCCCCATGAGCTTTGCTCATCTCCTCTCCCTCTGGCAAGCCCCAGCTGGGCAAATGCTGGCTGAGTCCCTCCCAGAGGGGACCTCCCAGCACCCACCGGAGGAGCTTGCTCTGTGTTAAGGCCGGATCCTGCATTTGGCCCCCACACCCCCCCATCCCAATCCCACCTCCCATCCCAGCGCGGGGGCTCGGGGTCCGGAGCTTCGCCTGCGCTCAGCGTACATTAGACGCAGATGACTGGGTGCAGCTAGCGGGGTAAGAGCCGCCGTCACTTTGATTTATGAGCACATCAGGAGGAGTTTCGGCGTGACACGCGGGACTGACAGGAGCAGTTCATTAAGCTGACACTGAGGTTAGGCAGCCGGCAGCTCCCCCTTGCCACCCCCCTCCCCTGCCCTGCCAGACTCAGGAGAGGGACAAACACCCCCCGCCCCGGCAGCTTTGGGGGCACACGGAGACCCACTGGTCTCGCCCCCAGGGGATATTGGGGTCTCTGCACCCGGACGCCGCTGGGCTTGGAGAGGCAAAGCGGCTGGAGAAAGAGCGGGACTGCAGACACCGGCTTTGCTGCCTCTTGCCACGAGGACGAGGGGCTGCCTGGAGCCGTCCCAGCCCTGCGCCGCAGCTCCTCGCTTCGCCTGCGCCCGGGGATGCTGCCGGGGGTTCACCCTGACACCCTAATGCAGGAAAATGCTCTGGGCTGGGATGTGCTGCAGCTCAGCCCCATCCTGGACCAGCTGCCTCGCTCGGCCCCTTCCTCGTGGCTCCTCGCAGACCACGGACACCCCCCACATCCTCTGGGACAGGATGCTGCCGACAGGCGCTTCCGACACGTTTCCATCCTCCGCGGTCCCTCTTTTCCTGCTCTCCCCTTCCCCGCACCCGCTGGGGGATCTCCAGCTGCGCCGCTCCTCCTGGTGAGATCTGAGCCGCTGCTCCATGAGATGCTGCTACCTGCTCCCGGCACCTTCCCCGGCGCGGCACAAAGCCATTCCCACCTGCTGATCCCCCTCCGTGCTCACAGGCGAGCCGCCGACTTACAATTACACCAAGGCGAGTCCTTGAAATCAAGCAGAGGGAAAGCAGAAGGCGCTCGGTTTACAAACCTTGCAGTGGGGCCGTAATTAAATACCACCGTGGATTTCCATGAAGGAACCGACGCTGGCCAAGAGCGGCTCTGCAGCGGCATCCCAGACACGCCAGCTATTCCCCGCGCCGTCGGGGGAAGCAACGGCATCACCGTTCCCAGCAGGCAAACGCTGCTGCCGAACGCAGGCTTTATTAATAGCAGCTGCCCAAATTCATGGGGTGAAGCCGACTCCACAAAGCCTGGCTGGGGGTTTTGGGGAGGGGAAACACCACGACATCTACTCGCAGGGACACCCTCGCTGTTTTTCCCGGCCACGGGGTGGTGATGCTGCCAGGAGCTGGACATGCATCCCTTTAGCAGCATCTAATGCCCCTTCCCCCCTGCCGGCCACTCAGACTTTCTTAGCGGATAAATTTCTCGTCTCCTCTGTACCATTTAATTAAAAGTTAACATGCGCTTTTTAAACCAGGAGCCTGCTAAGCAAGCCTTTTGTTAGAGCTTAATTATATCCCCGTTCGTTGCTGCAATATAACATCGCCACGGCCAAGAGGAAAGTCCTTGAGGAAGCTCAGATTTATGCCTCCCCTGTTCCTGGAGCATGAGCAGCTACTCCAGCTCCTGGAGATGGCTCCGATAAAGCCTGACCCCGCACACGCTGCGTAAATATGCCAACATCCCGCAATGAAAGCCCGGGTCAAAGTCTATTGAAGGCTCGAGTGGGTGCCGGCCCGACCCTGAGCTGCTCGAGCTGCTCTATTTCCCCAGCACCGGCATGTGCTTTGCTGTCGAGTCCCTGCTGCAGCCACCCCAATGCGCAGTCTGGGTTTAAATGCTTTCCTCCTCAAAGGAAAGCTGAATTTTGAAGTGCTGAGAATTGATGAGTGTAAATCAGGGGGTTGGATTTTAGGAGGGGTGATTGCAATGAACAGCCCCCACACCCCGTTTCCCTGTTTGCTACTGATACTTGGCTGGGGTCAGGGACTGAGCAGCTCAGCTCCACATCCCTCTGCACTGGGAGCCCAAGGAAGGATGCCCGATAGAGAGGGCAGTGATGCCACACATATATCAGCACCTGCAGTGCAAAATACCTCCCCCCCCCCCGGTACCCCGTGCACTGATCTGGGAAGAGAGAGGAGCAAAAATATAGAAGAAAAAGGAAGGGAGCGGTGCTGCCTGCCCGCTGCTGGTCAGGGTCGATCCCCAGCCTCCGTGCAACCGACACATCCCCAAAACCAAGCATTGCTGATACAGCCACAACGCCTCGGAGCGCATTACTATGGGAAAGGACAGCAAAACCTGTTGTGTAAAGGGAGTTATACAAGATTGATGCAATCACACCAGCATAAAACACTTCTCCACCAGGCAACCACCTCCCCAGCAAAGGGCCCACCGCTGCCGACCTGGTCACGGCATCCTCTGCTTTGAGCGTCTCCCATGGGAAAAGCCCTTTGCTGGCATCACTGCTATTTCACGCAGTCCTTACGTTTTGCAGAACCGCCTTTCCAGGCAGGAAAAGCCCTGGTTTGGGTTCCCACCTGACCAGCCCTGCCTGCCTACTTGCCAGGGTGCTGCCGTGCCAGCTCAGTCAGGACTGGGCTGCCCGACGCGAGCTGTGCCAAGACCCAGGCAGGGCCAGCACGTTGGGCAAGCGCTGAGCCGAGCCTCCTCTGCCTCCCGCACCGCAAGGAGGATTTGGGGAGCCCTCGCTCTGTGCCGGGGGGGGGGCAGCAACCTGCCCCTCCTGCCGGGGAGGGTCCGGCGGCTCTGCTGGAGCTGCCAGCCCACACCCGCTGACTTCACCGCTCCCCACACCCAGCCCATAGTTTCTAGATGCGCCAACAAGGATGCGGCGCTGAGAACGATGCAGCTCGGTGCACGTGCAAGATCACAGATAGGGAGGAAGAGGAGGAACTCCCAGCACCCGGACCGGCTGCCCCGGCACCCCCCGGGAGCAGGATGCCCCTGTATCCCATCCTCGCTGGCTCCCAGCCAGCTGCCCTGGGTGCTGGGATTCACGCACACCTTGTTTTGTGCTGGTCCCCCTTTTATTTGCTGCCAGATCTGATGGCCCAGAACCCATCTGCATGAGCTCACCTCTTTGGGTTGCTGCTTTCCGGCTTGCTGCTGTGTCAATAGCTGCAGGTGAAGCTGCTCCTGTTGCTTCTTGTAATATTCCTGCAACTGGGAGGGAGGGAGGGACGGGAGGGGAGAGAGCAGCCCTGATTAGCAGCAGGAACACCTTGTTCACATCTCCCTGCCCAGCACTACCGCATGCCCAGCACCGAGCTTTGCCACAGCCATGCCAGCTCCTGGCACCATGCCGTCAGGGCAGGCTTTGGCTACAGGTTAAGATGAAAAGCACCCACCGAAGGAGTCACGGCTGCAGAAAAAACGTTGGCCACATGCTCCTAAGGGCTCTCGATCCCTGCAGCAAGTAAAATCCCCAAACACCTCCAATGCCAAGCCTGCCATTCGTTTTAATGCCAACGGGTTGCCCTGGCTTTCTGCCACCGGCTGCTCAGGGAGCCTCCGCCTTGCCTGGCCTCCGGGAGGAGGGTCACAGCCCCCGGCTCTAATTCCTGTGCATCCTGGGGATTTTGCAGCTGTGCTAGGGGGATTTGTGTTTGATGGGGGAATATGAAACACCAGGAGGTGGGTGAGTCCCTTGAGAGAAGCGGGCCTGGGCGCTCTGGCACGTAACGCAGTGTTTCAACAGCAGAGAAACCCCTTTTTTGGCGTGGAGGGACCTCAAAACACCCCGGCAAGTGTTGCGAGAGCTGGGGGGCTCTTGGCTGGGAAGGGGCCATCAGCAGCCACGGTCTGTCCGGTGCGACCCCGTGAGCGCTGGGGGCTCAGACGTGCATCCCCCTTCACGGGCACCACGGGAAAGCGCAGGCAACCCGGCTCCTCGCAGCACCCCGGTCAAAACAGAGGGTTTTGCTGGGACAGTAAAAGAGAGAAAAACACCCTGGCCCCGTGATGAGCCACCAGAGAGGGTCCCAGTCTGCAGCAGGCAGCATCGGGACCTGCCAGCGTTGACGCCAGCTCTCGCCCCGGCCCCTAAATAAACTGTTGGTGATGGATTTGCTGCGTGCAGGGGGGCCAGAGGCACGGGGAGGTCAGCGAGACCCGGCGGCCCCCTCCCACCCGGCCTGTACCCCCGTGCAGGGGCGACGGCGGCGGCTCAGGAATGCCCCTTTGGATGCCGGGAAGCCTTTATCAGCTCGGGGCTGACAGCGCTGACAGCAGCAACTTTGCTTTTTCTGTCGGCGAACAGGTTTGGAAAGCCTGGGTGTTTACCCGAAAGCCAATCAAAGCCAGGTCTCTGCAACATGGTCGAGCGCGGCTGCAGGAACATTGGGTCAGGGGTGAGAGGTGTGATGTTTGGTTTTCTTCTGGTGGAGAATGCGAGCTATTCCGGCCTGGGTTGTTTAATTTGCAGTCAAACGTGTTTCTTTATCCGGCTCCAAAGAGGCTTGGAGAAGGACCCACCCAGGGTAGTGTTTACCCTTTGTTCTTTCCCTGGGGCCAACCTTGAATCCTTATCAGCCTGTTTGGAGTAAACAGGTACTGGAGGCAGGAGGAAGGGTGTGGAGGATGCTTGTGGGATTTCTCCTTCTCTCCCTCCCGCCGGCGGGAGGTGTTTACCCAAGCAGACCTGTTTTGTTTCGGAGTTGAGGTTTGGTTTTTTTTTTTTCTTCTCCTTCTTCTTTCCCTCCCCATTGGTTTTACATTTGACAGAGCACTCCAGAAAAGCTGAGCAGGGCCGTGAGAAGCAAACCCACACGCTCAGGCCTCGAGCTGGACCCGGGCGCCTGCCCTAAAGCCCAGGCAGCGGCCACGGGGGCTCTGCTTGGGCTCTGCTGAGCCAAGAGCATCCAGCCGGACTCCAGCTCTTCTCAAGAGCCGGGCAGCCCCAAACCAGCCCTCATGTGGGAGCTTTCTGGGCTTTGAGACCCTGACTCAGGGCAGCAGCATCCAGCTTTGCCAGCACTGTTAGCACCTGCAGCTCTTTCCAGCCCTTGGCGCTGGACGTACTCAGAATCCCTAAGGAAATATGGGGGGAACGCAGGAGCCTGAGGAGGAAAGGACTCATCTGCCTGCCCCTAACAAGCTCCAGCATTCACGGACACCAGTGAGAAATCGCTTGGCCCGATCCAGCCGATGCACAGCCAGCCCAGGACCAGGGTTACCTGTTGCAGCATTATCGCCTGCTGCTGCTGCAGGAGGGCCTGGAGCTGGGGCGGCGAGAGGATCTGCTGCATTTGCTGCGGCGTGATCATCTGCGGGGACATCATGGCCACGGACACCGGGACCTGTGGAAAGGAAGGACATGTCACCACTCCCAATTCCAACCTTGGAAAACCTTCCCCAAATGCCAACAGCCTGCGAGTGTCTCCCACCTCCCAGGCTCTCCTGGAGCAACCTCCGTGCCCCCCACCCCTGCGTCACCTTCGGGTGAAGCCCTCGGCCACCAGTCTGGCCTGGCGTGCCGAGACCACCGCTGGGGACGTGGCGATGGCAGGGAGATGCCCCGGCACAGGGGTGAAGCTTCCTAAACCGTGAGCTCCCCCCACCCCGAGGGCAGGATGCTCTCTGCCCACGGGGTCGTCTTTAAATGCAACTTAACTGGGGGAATTAGGCACTGAGAGGAGCCAGTGGCACAGGGGCAGCCAGCTCCAAACCACAGCTCCCTCCTCTGCTGCGAGCACGGGAAAGGTGCCGGGCACCGCTCCTTCCCTCCGGGTCACGGAGGGTGCAGGGAGGAGGGAAACACCAAGGGAAGTGGGGAAGATACCGATCACCCAAATAACTTTGCAAAGCAGAGCACGGAGGAAGAGGTTACCAGGTTTTCCATAGACACATCAAAGCTTTACCTCCAGTTGACACCAGTAACTCACGTAATTACCATGCCAAGTGGAGGGAGGGCTAAGAAAACCTGCCAACCCCTGCCTTTGGTTATCGTAACACGGGTCTACACCCCCGCGGCAAAGAGCCGGGGAAGGTGTCGGTGATGGATCCCAGACCCGTCGGTCCTGCCCAGGTGGAGCAACGCTGCCTTCCCAACTACGGCCATCAAGAGCTGCCTTGTCGCAGCCCTCCGCTGATCCCACCAGCCCAAAGCCCTTCCCGAGGCTCTGGACAGGGTTATGGCTCTGTTGTAACTTAATAACCCTTCCTGGATGTTCCCTTTTCCTAGGAAAGCAGACGACCGCTGCTGGTCTGGAGCAGGGGAGCGGGTCAGGCTGCCTGGCAGCCTCAGGCTCTTTGAGGGGACCCCAGGAGGAGGCGACTCCTTGGCACGTGGGATGCGGCAGAGCCTGAGCCAGGCTCCCGATACAAGCCAAGGACCCAATTTTGATCCAAATTAGACGATTTTTGACCCCCTCACTCCAGGGTCTCGGGACCTGAGAGACCAAGGGACAGCGAAACAAAGCAACTGGCTTCAGAGCACGCGGCAAAGTCCCACCGAAAGCCCGCTACCTGCCAGCCCCTCCGCCCCAGGACCTCCAGCAATGCCCAGACTCCCCAGTCTGGACCTGCTGCCCACCCTGGGGGCTGCCTCCCCGCTCCGGCCACCCCGGTGGGACACGGAGCAGGACCGGGACCCCAGGGGCAGCCCCGTGCAGTCCCTCCCGTCTGCGGTGGGCATCCGGCCGGGCTGCAGCGTGCCGACCTTCAAGGGAGATTGCAAAGGCTTATCTGTTTACTCAGGCATTTTGCTGGAGGGAGGCGTCGCAAGCGGGAGTTTCATTTGTCGCCGGCGATCCCCCCCCCCTGCCCACAGCTGCCTTCGTGTCAAGAGTTATTGATTAATTGCTGCGTGTTCACACCCAAGGGCTGCTGCTGGGGTGCCTTCAACCGCACCGGCTCGGCTGGCAGCGGAGAGGCTGCACGAGTGCCCCCAGCAAAGAGCCGCAAAGCCCTGCGAGGGCTCCGGCGCCTGCCGGAGAGCCAGGACAACGCCAAGCTCCCCCCACGGCACCAGCACCGGTGAAGAGCTGCTGTTTCGGCGGTCAGGTGCTCCCAGACAGCTGTGCAGAGCTCTCGGCAAACATCTGGGAAGGAGGGAAGCTCACGGGGATGGCAAGATGAGAGCGAGAGGGGCGCGCGCCCGCTTGCTGGGAGCTAAGCATCCTGCTAATTTCCCTTTGCCAATTCATCAGCTGGCAACGTGCTCGGAATGAGAGCCCCTAATTAATTGCTCACCGCATCCCCCATCCGGGCGGCCTCCCCGCCCCCACCACCGCCGTGCGGCCTCTCGTACACGTTTGCTGGCATTTTCAAATCGGAGGCATCCTAATTACCGGAGAGTTATAACACCTTCCATTTCTCGCCCAGCGGACTGACACCCTGTCAAGAGCAAAGAGAATTGCCAGAGGTTTTGACAACACTAATTGCCCCTATAATCTAAAAACACAAAGGAGAGGCGATTAGTCGAGAGGGCCCCAGCTCTCGATCCGACACGAGGTTTTCACAATGTTACAAGAAAACAAAAGCGACGCTTTTTAGAGTTTGATGGCTGCTAACAAAAGCAGAATTATATTTTCATACAACCTTTGTCTGCATTAAATGTTTTTTTCTTCCGTGCTTGGATGTGGAGCTGACACGGGGAAACGGTGGCAGCTTCGCGAGGGGGCGAGGTGTGAACGGGGCGAACCGGTGCCGGTTCTTGCGAGGGGCATCCAGGCTTCGCCGCCTCCCCGAACCCCGGCAGATGCCAAAGCCGCACAAAGAATTTCCACCACCCTGGCGTGGAAAGCATCCCCCTCCTGGCTAAGGTTTCCAGGGAGGGCAGGAGCTTTCTTTAGGAAAAGGGGAAATTCCCGTTTACAGTAAGTTTTGCTCCTGCCGCGGCCGTTCATCACGCGCGCCGGTGCCGGGCAGGCTGCGGCGCTGCTGCCGGCGGCTGACTCGACCCCGGCACGGGGCAGCAAACCGCGGTGCTGCGGTTCTCGGCCCCGGGGGCTCCGGCGACAGCCCCAGCTGCCTCTGTCAGGGATGATGACAGCTGCTGCCTCAGCAAAACGAGACGGGGATGAAAACGTCCACCCCTGGCCCAACCGAGAGCCCCGCGGTGGCACTCGCCCGCAGCTGATCCGCTAAAGGGGAGGGGGACGGGACGGCACAGCGCGGCCCCCCCGGGACACCGAGGAGCGGGGTTCAGCCCCTTCACCGGCAGCCACGGCACTCGGCCATCGCACAAGCTTCCCCGCGGCGGGGGACGAGGCCGGCCTGGCGTCCCCGCGATAGCACGGAACGGGGGCTTTGGGCGACGGTCACCTCAAAAGCTCGGATCCAGGCGGTCACGGCGGTCAACAGCACAAGGGAGAGCCAAAGGGCGCCGAGCAGAGCGGCACAGGCCGGGTACGAGGGGTTAGCTGCACCCAGCTGCCTCCTCTCCATCCCGTCCACCCGGCGGCAAAGTCCCTTCCCGGGTGCCCAGAGCGGCCGGGGACCGTCCCCGCACCCGGCAAATCCCTAGGGAAGCGGGTCCCAGCAGCCAGCCCCCGCGGCAGCGGCTGGTCCCCAGCCGACGCGTCACGAGCTGGCATCTGCCAGACACCAAGTCAGGAAGGGTTTGACTCACTCCTTGGCTGGCTGCCACTCCGCAAAACTGCTTACTAACAGCTCCGGCTGCCTCCCAGAAAGCCCCGGCGCTGCGGCTCCGACCGGCGAGCGGGATCTCGAGGGGGTGATTTTCCAGGCGGTCCCGGTTGTAATCCCTCCGTGCCAGAGGATGGGGCGGACGCGGATCATCAGGCAGCGGGTGGAAAACGAGACGGGTATTACAGGGGAAACTCGGCGCTCGGCGTAAGCGCAGAACGACTCTGCCAAAGCCGGCTGAGCGAAACAGGATTTGGACGGGCGTAACTCAGCAGGATGGGGGAGCAATGCTTTTATTTAAATTTTTCTTAGATTTTTTTTTTTTTTTTTTTTTTTTTTTTTTTTACGGGAAGCGAATTGCAACTCCCAGCCACGAGGCAGAGCGGGGAAAGCCACGGCCCGACGGCCGGTCTTGGCTCTCAGCGCTGCGGGGCTGCCATCAGAGGGACGGCCGCCCTCCTGACCCCCAAGACAGCTGGCTTGGCACAGCATGGGAACCGGGACAGCCCCCATCAGCCCGGGGCGTGCGAGCAAGCCCGCGGTTTGCTCAGCCTCAAAGCATCCCTGCACCGACCTTCACCTCCCAGCCGCGCCGTCACCCATGCCGGGAGGTTGCCGCAGGAGCCGCCACGTCCCCGGGGAGCCAGGGGCAGCAGGTCACCGCTGCTACGGGAAGGAGCATCTCCGGGTTCACACCTAAAACCACATGTCTGAGCTCCCGTGCCAGGGCAGGCGCAGCCCAGACCTCGTCCCCCACCCCGTCCCTGCTGACCGGGGGGGGCTCTGGGGCCGCCGGGATGAGCAAACCTCTCCCTGTGGTGGGTGCACGCCAGCTACCTGGGGTGTTCGATGCTTCCCGCAGAGCCCAAGGCGCTGCACATCATTGTCTCTGATCTAATCTCGAGTTTTAACTCCCAATTAGAAACAACAGCAAACATGTTTGCGCTGTTTTTCTTTTTTTTTTTTTTTAAACACCCTTTTCAAATCCAAAACCAAGAGAAACAAACCAAGGAGGTTGGTGAGGGAGGCCAGGAGCCGGGAACATAAGGGGGAAAACAACCAGCAGCTTTGGGTCTGCTGTTTTTAGGGGCATGGGATGAGCAAATCCCCCCCCCCAGAGCACCCGCTTCTCGCTGCTGCAGCTGGACAAGAGCAAACCTTTCGCTTTGAGTCCAGCCAAAGTGCACACAGGCAAATCCACGTGTCCCCTCCTGCGCTCAGCATCCCCGGGCGAACTCCGAGATTCAGCCGGCTCAGACCATCTGCAAGAACTTCAAACACCCGGGGCCAGGCAGTGATGCCACTCACACCACTGTAACTCCAGCTACGGTTATATATGTCTTGATGGGTGCTACAGGGCCACCCAAACACCATGCCCAACCTCCACACCCTCCTCCGCTCACACCACGCCGTGTCTGGACCTTACCAAGATGGGACAGGGACAACAGACCAAAACCTATCCAGGGTCAGAGCAGAAACCAAACCCAGATCTGCAAGGGAGCTCCAGCTCCACGTGCCAGGCTGGGTTTTGAGGCTGTGAGGTTATTTTACGAATACTTTGAAGAGCCTTAGCACCAAAGGATTAATTGCCTTGGGTGGGGGTGGCAGGAGGAGGGCAGCAGCGCGGGGCGAGCAGGCACCACCGTAGCTGCGTGGAGGACAACCGGCCTCTGATGTTCAGCTGCACGCAAAGAAAAGGAGGAATCAATCCCCTGCGTGTTCGACCCAACGTGCGTCCTCGTTAGCAACGGCGCGCCCCGCCAGGGAGGCACTAATCGCGCATAATTGGGCTGCGAGTCACTAAAAGTTGAAAGGGAGCTGGTTGGGGGATGCTTGGCGGCGGTGGGCTGGCGAGCTTGCTGCCTGCAGCCCCCTCCTCGGTACGGCCCTGCCGTGGTTTTTGGGGTGAGCTGCTGCCCCTCAGCATCACCCGGGCAGGATCCCCGGGGGATCACGTCTCCTCCACGGGCACGGGGCGCTGGCACGGCTCACCACGCCAATGAAATCGGCGGGGATTGAAGCAACTCCTTTGCTACCCCGTTAATCCAAAATGCCGTCGGTGCTGTGGTGGCGGTGGGGACGGCGGAGCGGGATGGCGGCGGCTCCGGGCTGGCAGAGCTGGGGGCTCTGGGAAGGAGGAGGGGGAATGGCGGGGGGCAGCGGGGATGGACGGCGGTGCTGCAAGTTCAAATGGAAAAATCTAGCGCCACACAAGCCAAGACGGACGGGCTGCTGTATTTTTTCCTGGAGAGGGAACGCAGAAGGGCTGGTATTGATCTGTCTTCATTACCCATTTCACTCAAGTTTCAAATCAACAAAATACACTTTTCCGCTCCGCTGCCCTCCCCGCCACAGCAGACAAAAGAAAAGCAATTTCCCGCAGTTTGCTCCAAACTCCTCTCCCCTTCCCTCAGCGTCCTTCAGCCCCTCTCCTATTTCAGAAGCTTTTTAAACTCCGCAAGTTGCTCCCGCCAGAGGCTGGGGAGACCCCCGGCCCCCCAAAGAGGGCACCCCGTGATTCAGCAGTGCCTCCAAGACAGAAATGCCCCAGCACCAAAAATACACGGTGCTGCCTTTCTAAACACGCTCCAGCACCTCATACCTTGGACTTTACCGAATACCGGCAGCATCTCCCCATGGGGGAGGATCCACCCCGGGGGGGATCCACCGCTCCCGACCAGCCTCGCGCCGGGGAGGAGAGCCCTGCAGACCATCTGCAGCACGAGTCCTCAAATGCAACACTTAGTCGGCATCTGCCAAGTTTCTAATAGTTTTAAAGTTGCGAAGAAATAAAACCATTTAAAAATGTTTCAGGGTGGGGTTTTTTGGGTGGTTTTTTTTTTTGGACGTAGCTGTAATTTGAGTGCCAGCTGTGAGGCTCTCCGCGCACACCTCCAGGCATCTGGGGGGAGAGAGGGTTCATACTCCAAAAAAAACCAACCCCAAGATCCCTACTGAGCCCAGCAGCTCCTTGTTTGTTTTTAAGAGCACGCCATTGCCGACTGTCGTTAATATTCCCGCTGGCTTGGCGCCCCGTAAACGTCCCGTCCCCATCAGCAAGGTGGCAGGGAGCTGCTCGCTGCAAACGCAAGTGCACGGTGTCGGCGAGCACGGGGAATTTGCAGCGCTCCTGGGTGTTGGGTGCTGGGCGCGGGGGCCCCTGCTCGCTCTGCCGACGCTGGGACCCTCCTGCTTGCTTCGCCTGGGACTGGGGGCCGGGAGCTGTGGGGAGACCACTGAAAAAGCTTCTCCCCCCACCCCGAGCAAAATAACTCAAGCAATATGGGAATCCAGTCCCCAACCATGGGGGCTAGCAGCGCAGCTGCACATCCACCGGCAAAGCCCGCGGGGGTCCGGCCCGGCACACCGAGGGCACCCCGGTTCCCAAAGGCTGCAATGAACCCCCGGTCCTGCCGTGCTCCCCCCGTCCTCCCTAGCCAGGGGCTGCTGCAGCCTTTCTCCTCCTCCTCCAGCCGTCCTGGCCAGTCTCATCCACACCACTCTGCCGTTAGATAAACTTCCTTTCAAAGGAGCCTGCTTAATCCTCTATCTCCCCTTGGTCAGATCCCGCTCCAGCTGCCGGCAGGGCTGGTGGGGCCGGTGGGGGGGGGAGGAAGAGGCCGGTCGCTGCTGAGTTATGAGCTATTTCTGACTCACGTCTACAACTTTCACAAGTCCTTTTGCAACACAAAAAGGGAGGAGGGGAGAGGAAGGCAGATCCAGTTCACTCCGGCAAAGCCACCGGCCAGATGGGCAGGGAGGGGAGGCGAGAGAAAACGGCAGAGAAGGGGGGAATGGGATGTTTAAGCGAGCGGAGAGCGAGCGAAGCGCGCGTGCATCGCGGCCGGGGCAAGCGGCGGAGGGAGCAGCGAGGGATAGGCAGGAGAAGAAGTGCAGGCAGAAGTGCAGGCAGGAGAAGTGCAGGCAGGAGAAGCATGGCCAGGGACAAGCACCCACAGAGGGGAGCGAGGTGCCGGTTACCGGAATCTGACTTCACCCTCGCTGCCTTTGTCCTTCGCAGACATTTTCCATGCAGTGACTGCATTTCCTTCCTGCAAGCGCCACTGGAAAAAGCCGCCTGTTTGTGCCGCAGAAGCCCTGACTAATTCCCGCTGCTCCTACCCGGCTGCTACTTCCCAACCTGGTGGGGCAGCCGGGGGGCTCCGGGCTTCCCCGGCCCCCACAAGCCCACCCCGGTACTGGCAGCACCGGGATGGCACTTGCTGTCAGCCAAGGTTCAGCCGTGCCCCGGCCGTGGGACTCGCCAAGCCGGGAGAGGAGCCGGCGATTGCCCGTCCCAGCCCCGGCTCTTGCCACGCTGCCGTGCTGGCTCAGCCTGGCATAGGCAGGACCTCCAGCTCTGAGAGCGCTTGTGCTAATTACTTTCCTTTGTTAATTAAACCCACGTGGCTCCAATAAGGTAACCTGCTGTTCTCTGATAAATTTAATTAGCCTGAAGGGAGAGCCCCTCTGCACAGCTATTTAAATTGTCACTTTCCATCGCTTGGGCTTTGCTTCTTTCTGCCTCCCCCTCTCTCCAGGTTCACATCCCTCTTCTGCCCCTTTCCTTTGGGGGAGGAGGGCAGCAGGGGTGCTAAGGGGAGGTCCCCCCCTCCCCTCTGGGAGCAGGATGCCACCCAAGGGTGCTGCGCTCACCCAAAGCCCCATTTTCCTGCCAGCGCCACAAAAACCCCACCCAAGCTGGGCTTTCGTCCCACCCCAGCGCCTGTTCCGCGCTGGAGGACCTGCCCTGGCTCCAGCCCCAAAGGACTGTCCCTTATCCAGTCCTTGCTCCCAGCTCACAGCACCCGGCATCAATCCTGGGGTGCTCGGGGTGGAAAACTCGGCACTTCCCTATCCGAAATGCTGTCCCAAGGTACGGTGGCACACGATGGCCTTCTGTCCCTGGTCCTTGCCCCACCTGGAGCCATCCTTTGCCTCGCATCGCCCTTTCCCCCCATGTCCACCACCAAAGGGACCCCCCCCCCCCCCCCCCCAAAAAAAAAAAAAAACCCAACAAATTTCTGGAGGTTTCCAGGGTATTTAACTCTCTGGGGGGCTCCTGGTGTGCTTCAGCCACCCCAAGGACGGAGGCGACGTGTGTTTGCACATGCATTTTCCCACAGCATCAGTTTGCAGCCGAGCCCTTCCCGAAAAGGGGGTGATGGGGGACACACACACACGTCCTCGGGGCTCACCTGCACCGCCGGCTGCTTGCCCTCATTGCTGCTGGGGGAGCTCAGCCCCGTGGCCTGCTGCAGCAGGAACTGGCGTGCCACCTGGAGAGCCTGCAAAAGAGACACAGCAGGGTGGGCAGGAGGAAGGGTGCCCTCTTCCTCCTCCCTCCTCCGGGCACGCTCCCCCTCCAGCTCCCCAGAGCAGCGCCCGGACGCGGGGCCGGCCGGACTGGTTCTCCACGGATTCGATCCGTGGGGCGCGAGGGACACACGAGGAGGGCAGCGCTCCCCCACGCTCCCTCCTGCCACACCAGTATGACCAGTACATCCCATTACAGACCACCGCTCTCCAACCCCCCTGGAGCCACGGAGGACCATGAGGACCTGGGGGCAACCCTATCCTCTTCCAAAAACCCCTGCCCCATCTTCGGCAAGTCACCAGGTCCAGCATCTTCATGCCTCTGGCAGGTTTTCACACGGGTTATCCCCAGCCTCGGCACAGGCGGCTCCTGGCCAGGCACAACCAGCACCCGACCGAAGGTCCGGCGGAGGGGCCGGCTCCCGGCTGATTTATTCCACCCTTGCATGGAGCCACCACTACATTTCTGCTGCAGCTGACATCCCTTGTGTCTAAAGCTACCGTGTATATTTAATTTTACATCTGATTGTCACACTGGAGCACCAAAAAGTCCCAGATTCAGTCAGGCCAAGAGCAGGATTACACCCTAAATTAATAACCCACGAATGCATCCGCACAGAGTTTATGGTGATGCAGGAGTTTAGCAACTCACCCAAGTGACCAGGATGAAACCTGCTTACTTTTATGGGTGTTTGCCTAGAAAGAGTTATGAGTTTCCTTAACTTGTTTGCAGGGATGAAGGTGGCTGGCTGGGAAGTGACACAACAGGCAAAAAAGGGAGAAACCAAAATAAATTGATAAAAACCACTTGTGGAAACACATGCAGGCACAAGCAACTGTGAGCGAGCCCTGCACAGCAGTGTCGGCAGCTGAAGAAAGCGGGTGAAATTAAGGAAAATCCTGCAAAGAGACAAGAAGGACAGAGGAGCAAGTGCGAGCTGGCAGAAGAGCCGGCCGGTCACCGGCGAGCGTGGCCGAGGGCGAGCGCCGGTGTGTGTGCGAGCCGAGAAAAGGAGCTTCATTCAGGAGCTGGGAGCCAGAAGAGGGAATAAAGCCCTAACGAAAACAACCCTGCGGTACCCGGCTGCTGCTCCAAGACCCGCTTCCTTGTACACTCCTTATTTTTGCTTTTAAAGAATTTTTTTTTGGGGGGGGTACATTTCTCAACAACCAAGTCATTGTAGCCCTGCCTGCAGGACAGGTTTGCATTAGGGCCCGGCGTGGGGTCAGAGCCCGGCTCGGCGGTGCCGCCAGCAGCACACGGGTTCCCCCGGCTGTCATCACCCCGGCTGTAAATCACTGCCCCGGCTTCCAGGAGGCAGCCGCGTGCCCCGAGAAAGGGCCGCTTGTTAATTCTCTGCATTTCCAGCTATAAAGAAGAAAGCCCCCAGCCCGTGCGCTGCCTCTCCATCCCTCCGTGCCAAATCCGCTTGCAAACCGGAGAGGCATCGCCCACAGCGTGGATGCACCTTAATACATCGCTCCGGTCCACTCGCTATTTATTTAACCTCTGTGAACCAAGGAGCACCCACAGCACCCTTAAACAGTTGCTCAATGGAGCATCCGTGAAGACTCATTACCTGCGTTTTAATCAAAAGGTCCCATTTCGTGCTCCTCTCCACAGGGGTTGCTCAGGAAGAGCATAGGGGACAGATTTAGAGCAAAGGATGTCCGAGCTCTGCCACCACTGTTTTTTCTGTGAATAAAAGCCTTCCGACCCGCTCCTCGCACATGGACAGGCGTTAGAAGTGCATTTGCAAAACGAGAGGTGATTTTAAAGTTGCTGCCGAAGCCAGAGGCTGTGTGCAGAGGGTTTAGCAGACACAGCCTTGCCTATTTTATTCACAAAAATAGCATTTTCCAGCAAGGGACCCAAACCCAACAAGCTGTGCCCCAGACGCAGCACAGGACACCCTCTGCCCTGCCCGTCTGTGTTTGCCACCATGCACGTGCCCCAAAAAAGTCAAAAGCCCAGGAGTTTCAAAAGCCTCTGGGATCCTAACGTCACCCTCCCACGACGAATTGCCAGGGCTGCACCCCTGGGTGCCCCCAGGAGCGGACAGAGCCCGGTGTGCCCAGCGCGGTTGCACCCAGAGCTGCCCCAAGCCCACCGCCTCTTCCCGAGCATCCTTGGCCGGCTGCTGGGGCTGCCGAAAAACTGCATGACCACTGACTTGCAAACTCAATTTATCCAAACGATTAAAAAATAAAATCCATGAGGACAAACATGGCAATTTGCTGCTGGGAATCACTGATGGTATGAACCCGTGGTCCAAGTCCCAGAGCCGATGCAGCCCCAGCACAAGGCACGCTCCTCTGCGGGCATGTTATTTCCCTGTTATTAACAGTAATAGATGTGCATCGGTAATGTGAACACAAAAACCATGTGACAGTTATGACAGCTCAAGGTCTGATATTTTAATTACTTTTTGAAATGAAAACAGTAATTCCAGTTAAAAGCCAAGGGTGGAGGAATTCAATCGACGGCTGCTCAGCACCAGCGTGCAGCAGAGCCAGCAGGTCCAAGGCACCCACCCGAGGATGGGTGCCGGACCACTGGCTGCATCCCGCGTGTGCACACCAGCTGCCCAAGCTTCATCTATTTTTCCACGTGTCCGTTTGACAGAGGTTTGCATGGATTTGGTTTCTCCATCTGCACCACGTGAGATTCCTCCGGTGTTTGTAAGGACCATCTCACAGAAGTGATCCGGTGAGGCAGGTCCCTGCCCCAGCCCAACAAAAATCAGTGCAGCAGGTACGGAAAATACAGCAAAGAGGGGAAAAAACTGAAGAGACATAATGCCAGCACCCAGGCAAAGCGCTAGGCAGGATTTCTCCCGCAATCTCTCTTTCTAAACCCAAAAACTGGCTGGCCCGCGGGTGCCACCGAGTCCCCAGCGCCCGGCTGGCTCAGCCCGCCGCTGGCCGCCCACCCCGCGCCGCCTCTCAGGGGGGAATTTAATTCACTCCCTGCTGGCTCTCTCACTTTGTTGTGCTCTGAAGCACGAAATTACAAGATTTACAGGAAAAAAAATGACATGGCCTTACAATTGCACACAGGGGCCTCCCCGCCAGCGCCCCGGAGCTGCCCCCTCCCTCCCTCCCCACCACCCAGCAGCGATTTCCACTTAAGCCTAAATTCAGCTCAGCCTGCAAACGAAGGATGCTCTGGCTGGCAGCGCCCAGAGTCTGCAAACCTGTTGCACGGCTGCCCAAGGCAGGCGGAGTCCCAAGAATTGAATTTCGGGATGCAGAGCCCCGCGTTATCTGCTTTTGTTACCCCCACCCCATAGGGCAGGAGGAGCAGCCCAGGTGCTGGGGGAGATAAAGCCTTTCTGTAGGGATGAAGGTGTCACCCACAACCGCTCCTTAGGGCTGAGGAGATGTGAAAGCAGAAGGAAAAAAGTCTCCCCATAGGAACGGATGGGCTTTCACCTTCTGGCTCTGTGAACCGGGAAAAAAAAAAAGATTTAAAAAAAAAAAATGTATCCTGCTGCATAGTGTTATTCAAGAGTCATTAGCATGTTACTCGTAATTAGGAACGAATGGGTTGTGTCAAATTCATCATGCTCCTGGATGGCTCCCTTTGATCAGCAAATTATCCCATAAAAAAGTTTGTAATGTCTCAGACACTTACATCAAGAGCTGATGCAGTTTGGCTTTGCCCTCCCCAAGAGCAGCAGCAGCAACACGTTTCAGGGCTGAGGAAGAGGATGGTGACCCGGACTTTGCTGGGGGTGGCCCACAACTACCCCAGACTGCATGGGGGCACCTAGCACACCAGGGTTTTGCAGGGAGAGATGAGATGCTGGAAGGTGTGTGCTGGGACAGGGAGGGGCTCAATATATAAACCAAGCCTGGGATTAATCCCAGGCACGGTGAAGGCTCTGCCCAGGCAGCACACCCCCTGCCAGGGCCAGCTCCGAGCTGCTCCCGCGGCACCAGAGGTTTCCCTGCCATGGAAGGGGGCTCTCGGGGTACCCAGCCCAGGGGGATGCTCGCCTCTCCCCGGAGACACCGAATCCCTCCTGGGGAAAACGAGACTGGATCCTTCCCCCACTTCAGATACAAGCATCTCATCCTCCAGCGGGGAAGCAGCCCGTCACCCCGGCTTCCACTCAACGTAATTATCCTTAATTCTTCCCCCAAAGGCTTGTGCTCCGGCCAGTGGGACTCCACACCTCCAGCCCTGTATGTGATGGAGGCATCCCAGGACGGCAGGAGGGCCAGCTTTTTGCCTGCCTTCCCACAGCAAACGCCACCAACTTCCCTTTCTCCCACGGGGAACACCAGGTCCCGTCTGGCCCCAGCGATGGAGGAGCCCGGGGAGAGGAGACAGCAGCTCCCACCCCATTTAGGGTGGCTGACTTGCACTTCAACCCCTCACCCCTGCCTGGCTGCCTTTTTTTCCTCAAAATCTGCCCAAGCGGAGCCTCTCCGAGGCCTCCCGCGGCCTGGTCAAATTAGGAAGAAATAGGTCAAGAGGTTCAAAAAAAGTTTGCTGACGATGGAGACATCCACGGGTCTCTCTAAAAGCACAAGCCCCAGCCTCCCAAAAAATCAAACGGAAAATCTTGCCCAGGGTATTTTTAAAACTACCTTATTCTACCAGGTATTTCATTTTACGAGGGTGTACTTTTTAATTATGCTCAGCGGTGCCCGGACGCTCCAGTTGCCGGAGCCAAAAGCAGCGCGCCGGCTGCCTGCCGCGCAGGGGGGAGCGGGTTCACCCAGCCCGTGATGGGAACCGCTGCCCAAAAATAGCCGAGGGATTTTCCACCTGGATGGGATCAAAGCTTTGCATGGGGTTTTAACCTCCAATGAGTGAAAAGTCACCCTAAAAATGATATTAAACCAAGAATTTTGCCAGGAGGGAGGCAGAAAGAGGATCTATAAAGAGAGTCTGTATCTTCCCTTTTCCCTCCGTTCCTTTTGGAGGGTAGAAGGAGGTTGGGAAGGGATGAAAAAATGTTAAAAAAAAATTTTTTTTACACTAACCTCATAAAAATGACATCGTCACATTCCAGAATTAGAGCTATTAAAACAACACACACGCGGATATTTTTAGATGGATATTAACGGTAAATGATGCCATATTGAGAAGCACTTCCACCCAGCCCAGCCCTGGTCTTGCTTAACCAGAACCAAATGGCTCCAAGAGATCAAAATTAACAAAAATGACACAATTCTTCACAGGAGGAAAAAAAAAAACCCCAACGTCCTTTTTACAACCGGCTCTGTGCCTCTCTCTCTGCCCCAGCTGTTCTCCCTTTCGCTGCACATGCTAATGCTTCTGGACTTTATTCCTCTACTCTTGACTCTTCAATCCTCGCAGGCGAGGGGTTAAACCCATTTCCACTAATGAAGAACACAAGGAACAAGCTCCTGACAATCCCACCCCATGAAAAAAAAAAAAAGAGGAAAAAAAAAAGAAAAAAAACCCTCCTGCATTTGTACTCAGTAAAATATGAAATATAAATCAAGGACCCTAATAGAGAGATGAGTTTCACTTAAGTGCTCCGGTCTCATTTTTATCTTAAATACCCTAATAATAGAGGATTACACAATATATTTGAGATGTGATCACATGTTTTATGGAACGGTATCTTTCCTATGGCAGAGAAGTGCCTCTCCTCCCCCATCCACACCCTTCTTTAACTACCAAAAAAGTCCGATTTGCTGCTTGTTTTTAAAAAGTCTTGTTTTTGTTTAATAACTTAACATTTCTTTGACATGTGTCTGCAATACCCTGCAATTTTTTTTTTTTTTTCATAATAAAAAAACCACCGAACAATGCCTTGAGTGCCTGGATTTTCCAGATGGCTCCTTTTCCATGGGATTGCAAGTTGGAAAGAGCTACCGTGCAGCCGCCGGGCTCAGGGACTTTCCCCACGATTCCCCCGGGACATCCCTGCTCCGAGCACCTCCAGGCTTTCACCTCCCACCCCCTGAACCCCAAAAGCTGCAACGACCCCCGAGACCCAGCCTCTCTGCACCCCACAGCTTTAAAACCCAGCTCCGGGATAAGACTTGGAGAGCTGGGAATTTTTTGCAGGAATTCAACTGGGAGAAACCCAAAGCATCGGAGAGCAGCGCCTGTTCGGCACGCAGCCCTGTGCAACGCCCACCCGTGGGTCTCCCCTGACCCCCCCCGCCCCTGTGGGGTGCAGCCCTGCACCCCGATACCCCAGCCGGAGCATCCTTCATCCTTCTCCCATCGCAGGGCTGCGACACCCCCATCGCCCCACCGTTCCCGCTTCCTGCCCAGCCTTCCGAGGATTACCGGGAAGGGGGTGGGGGGCCCTGGCGTGGCGGGGGGTGCGAGGGGCCAGCCCCCACATTAAAAACTCATTAATGCGCAAAGGCGGCAGGGCCCTTTGGAGCCCGGTTCGAGGATGTCAGCGCGTTGGAGGTCTCGCCACGTTCCCACAGCAACGGCGGTGGGAGACCCTGGCCGGCGGGCAGCCCTCCCATGCCCCCGGCCGACCTCTCCCCTCCGCCAACCCCGGCACAATGCGGGCGCGCGCTATTCAAGCTTTTCAGCCGAATCCCGCCATTGAAATCCAAGGATTTAACCTGAACGCCATCCCCTGGGCTGGGGGGAAGAGGGAGGGAGGGAGGGGAGGGGGATGCCCTTTTTCCCCACCCCATCCCACCGGGCTCCCCGCTCTCCCTCCAGACTCTCCGGACCGCAGGATGCTCTGAAGTCGCATGGATCGGGGTGGAGAGCCGGACCAGGCGCAGCCGAGGACGGTGACAGAAAGCTGTGCTCCGCGGTGGAGCACAGCCAGCGCCGCGGCCGGCAGCCCCTGTCCTGGCAAAGCCGGGCTGGTGCAGCCGGACATCTGTGTCCTCTTGCTCCGGGGACTCCCCAGAGGCCACAAAACAGCTTCAGGGGTTCCCTGAGCACCCTACGATATATACACCTCCCCTCAAACTCCCACCCAGGACACTCACCTCCGGGCGGCATCCTCAAGAGAGGAGTTTTAACCTGAGAAGTCCCTGCAAACCAACCCCAGGGCTGTCTGGGTTCACCCTTTCAAAAGGGTGAAAGCAGAGAGACTGCGGGCACCAAAGAAGGTCAAAACCAGCTCGTTTTGCCAAAAGGTGCAAAACCAGCCGAAAACGAGGGCAGAGCACGTGCCCCCGGGGAGCTGCATCGCCCAGGCAAACCCCTATGGACATGGAGTTTTAAGTCACCGGTGGCCCTTCAAGCTCAGGTTGGGTGGTTGAGCGGTGGGTTTCCACCCCTCCAGGCTTCCTAACATTTCCTGGGGATTTCATATAGTTAAATAAGGATAAGGATTGAGTGTCAGCATTTCAGGAGCTGCGGCGGAGCCAGGACGGAGGAGCTGTCAGACGGGAATAGCCCAGTGGTCCGAGAGCCTGCCTGCGACAAGGGGCGAATGCTGGATGCTCCCGAGGATGGTGTAAAGCCTTCATAAAGCACCTAATTGTGCAAAACTCTATATATGGGGACATTTATTCCTGACCCCAGCTGGTGCTCAGCCTGTTTCCTGAAGCATGAAGATTGATAGTCCTCGGGATGTTTTTTTTTTTTTTCCCTCCCCCCAAGGTGCTGTCATTGCAGATGTCATTTGTTTTTGGAAGTTTACCAAACCCTCTGCCTTAATAATTCCACGTGCCAGCAAGTTTCCCAGGGTAATTACACCGGGAATCCGAAAGAAGAAATGCAAAAGGGTGAAATTAAACATTGGCCGTGCTTTGGGCAGGGCAGGATTTACCAGGTGAGCTCAGGGAGCAGCATCCACGGGGATGAGCCAACAGCAGCAGCGCTCTGCATCGCGAAAGCCCCTTTCTTCCTTATTTTCCGGAGGAGATAACCCCGTTTTACAACCGTGCTGCCCACCCTCCGATTTGCACAGTTTTGGCCGCGCAGGAACAAGCATCTCCTATTCACCCCTGGCTCCGGCTGCCGCTCAGTGAAATTCGGGGCCGCCCTCGGCGTGGGGAGGGGAGCGAGCGGCAGCTCCTTCGGCAGGGGTGACTCGCAGCAGCATTACACGCATGATTACCCTTCAGATCAGGGGAACAGGGGCTTAACTGCGTGAGAAACGGCTGTTATTCAGGTAATGGATTTACAGCACTCACTACTAAAGTATCAGACACAGCAATTTTTTACAGCTTTCACGCTGGAATTTATGGCTCAGGGAGGCGATCTCCATACGAGGCAGGGATCATTGCCTTATTTAGTATCCGAGGAGGAAAATTTATGTTTTTGCCAAAGTTTGTTTTGAAAGGTAACCTGCAGGCACGCACACACGTCCCCCGTCCCCACAGCCGCCCGGGCGTGCGTGTTGCGAGGGGCGATGTGTGCCACGCAGCTCCCGGGGACGGGCCCCCCGAGGCGCACACGCGTGTGCTCAAGGACAAAACTGTCGCGTGCACGTCTCACGCTCACACGGGTTTTAGGCCGCGCGTGTGAAGTTAATTTTTCAGCTGAAGGCACCAGGAGCCCCAGAGAACGGGAGACCACCTCCAGTCACCCACCTGGGTGACCAAATACCGACTAAGAGAAAACCTGCTCCTTATTTTACAGCCAACAGGTCTCTACTCTGCTCTCACGGCCCTCCGCCTTTTCCTGCACCACTCTCCCCACACCGACGGGGTACAGGCAGGACCTCCCCCCCAAAACGCGGCCATCTCCGGGGCAGCAGGCACCAGCCCACGAGCCGCACGGACGGACGGGCTCCATCCCCTGAGGGACGTGCACCCCAAAGGACAGGCGCCTGCTTTTTGGGGCAGCGCTCGCACCCCAACTTCAACAGGGATGACCAAGCCTAGCGCAACCCATGTCCTCGGCCAGCCCCGGAGACGAGGGGAGGGTAAATTTGGGTGTTGCCCCCAAACCAAATCCTCAAAGGACCCGGTTCCACGTTGCCTGGCGTAAGGCAGGAGGAAGCGGGGTGTCCCTCCTACCTGCTGCTGCTGGAAGTGCAGGAGCTCCACGGGGCTCATCTCGCCGTTGGTCTCGCCGCTCGCGGCTCCTTCGCGCCCGCCGCCCCCTCCGCCGCCGCCTGCGCCGCCCCCGCCGCCATCGGGCTGGTTGCTGAGGCTGCTGACCCCGTTTTGGCTGGAGGGAGTGGACCGTATCGTCTCCGAGGCAGATTCAACCATCATGACTTGCTAGCAGGACCTGAAGGGGAGGAGGAGAGAGCAGAGGCTGAGAAAAAAAGAGCCTGAAATCCCCGGTTGGCATCCCCATCTCCGCCTGCCCCATGCCCCATCCTCGCCCCGTGCCGGCTCCGATCCCCGCGAGGTCTGGCGGCGAGACGCAGGGATGGGATGTCAAACGCCGGCCAGTTTTAGCTGCGTTCCATTTACTCCAAAAAATAAACGTGCAGCAGCGTGAGCTGCCACGGACAGGCTGCCGGCCCTGTACAGCACCGGGGCAAAGCAAGTGCAACCTGTGTCCCTTAGGAAAACACGACGTTTTCAGCTTTCTCCCAGTCTGATGCAAGACACAAAACCCCAGGACCTGGGCATTTTTCACAGAATCCCCAAATATTTCATTTTCAGACGCTGGAGACAGCAAAGCTGAAGTTTCAGCGAGGCTGCACACCAAGCATGTGGAGCCTGCACCACATATTTCACCGTGAAAATCTCAACAAAGTTGACGCTTTTCCACAAAGCGCTTCACCTCCCAGCGAACCAGCACTTCCCAGCAGGAAAAACCACCCGGCAGAAAGTCTGCCGCCAGGTCGAGGAAGCCCAAAGGTACCGCGGAGCTGGGACACAGCAAAATGAGAGCACGGTGGCACCCCAGAAAACATCACTCAGAAAATCCTCCCTTTCTCACGGATGCCTCCATGCACCCCCCCGTCCTGCTGTACCCCTCGGATGCCCTCGAAGGACCAAGCTGGGCGCTTCGCCCTTCAATGCAGAACACAGGGGCCGCAACACCCGCCGCATTTCCAGCCCCGCGCGAGCCCCCGGCAGCCGCGGTTTGAAGCTCTTGCACTTCATTTCATGCAATTACAGGCTTCCCTCTCGCAAGGCAACAGCGCGACGCTTTGCCTCTGTGGATGGGTTTTATTCCTGTAAACTCGCCCTCCCCATCACCCCGTTACACCCGGGGCACAAGGGCAGAACTGCCCGCACCTCGCCGCTCCTCCCCGGGCCCCGGCTGTGGGGCTCGTGTTAGCAAGCGTGCCCGTGGGCGCTGCAGCAAACCCGGGAGCAGAGTCGTGGGGTGCCAGCAGCCTCAACGAGTTGAGGGAAACCATCCGGCACCGGGAGAGTCACCGGCTGGAAAAGCTGCTTCCACCCCAACGCACGGCCGGCTGCACGAGAGCGAGGTGTTACGTGCATCCCTTATCCCCCCTGGTCTTAAAAGCTATTTAAATTAAGGCAGATGGGCTGGGGGGACACGACTTGCGAGGGGTTACAGGGCTTGGCTTCAAAGCGATGAGCTGAAGAGTCTTTGCTCAATGGGGTTTGATTAGCGGGCAGGTTGTTAGCTGGGAACCTGAGGGTCCCCTTTTCCGGGAGAAACTCCTGGATGTGGGCTGGCACTGGAGGAAACACAACCACGGCATCCAGCACCAAACCAACACAACCACAGTGTCCAGCATCAAACCAACACAACCACGGCATCCAGCATCAAACCCCGCCGCTCCAGCCAGCAACCGCCGAGCCCCCCGGGGCCGCATCCAGCCCTGACGCACGCACAGAGCGATCAGGGGCACGAGAAGCCCCACCAGAGCCGAGGGTCTCTCCCTCCTTCCCAACACACGCTCCGCTCCGTGGAAAAGCAGAGGAAACAGTTTTATCTCATTTGATCCAGCTCCTTCCCCATCGGCGGGTGCCGGAGCGGGTTTGGTGTTTGCCCACTGGCACTCGCAGCCCGTTGGCGAGTTTGAAACAGGAAGGGGATAAAGAAAGAGGGACGGGGAAAAGAAATACTGTTTCTCCCTTTTTTTTCTCTTCCCCCCCCCCGTCTTCCCCCGCCCCCCCAAAAGACAGAAAGACAAACCGCGAACAACATAATTGCTGAAATGTGGCGTGTAATAATAGCTATTCAGAAGCTGATCATTCATATTAAACAGGGTGAAGCAAGCTTCTCATTTGCATGTTTGAGATTATATGCATTTCAAAAGTCATTTCCGCAGGGTATATGACTGACATTAATTCCCATGTGGAGCTGCCGGCTCCCTCCTGCCATCCTGGCGCTACCAAACCCGCGCAGGGTGACACACCGGTGGCTGCGGGAGAGTTCAAGGTTAACGGGATTACGGGGCTTTGATTTTGTTTGAAGTGCAGGAGCCGGGGTGCTGGGGTGAGAGCGTGGCACGGTCGGAGCGGCTTCCCGGGAAAGGATGGGATGCTCGCCTACGGCCACTGCGTTAGGAGCTAAAAAGCTGGAAGAAAGAAAACACCTTTTGCCTCAAAAACTACATTTGCTCCTCCCCCCACAACCAACATCAAACAAGAGCCTACAGAAATATTAAATTATTGCTGTTCCTTTTCTCATCTTCCTTCTGAAATCTGCCGCCTGCTCCACGTTTCGACCAGGCGAGCAGCCCCACAGGGAAAGCCAGGCTCTGCCTGTGTCCGGCAGTCACAAGGCATCACCATGGCCAGAAACTCAGCAGGATTCAAAAAGGGATTTGACTTTTATACGGAGAACAAGAATATCCAGAGTTACAACAGGAAGTATTAAAAAAGGAAAAAAAAAAAAAAAAAAAGTTTTTGGAAAGGATATAAAACTTTCCTGGCTTCGGGGCTTAAATTGAAGCTTAACTATTGGGAATTAGGAGGAAATCGCTTCTGGTGGAAGAGCTGTAACCATGGTCTTGCTCTGTCATCCCTGGCCCCTGCCAGAGGCGGGATGCTGGAGCAGATGAACCGGCACTGGGGTCCAGCCGGGTGATTGCCGCAGCCCAGGACACCAGGCCAGTTGGGTTCCCTCTCCAAGTCTAGTAAAACTCGACTTCCCGTTCGCAAACCCTACTGGGATGCTGGTGTGTCTCGGTTCCCAACACTGCAAGGGAAGTAATAAAAGAAAGTAATAATAATAATGAAAATATTTCCATTCATATAAAAGTTTTACAAAACCTTAAAGAAAAAAAAAATGAAGCCAGCGTCTGCAACATTATAAAGTCGATTTAAATTAGGAACGAGCGCTTTTCGAGCCAGGACTGATCCGGGATGACTGAAGCCGCGTTGGGAAAAGCAAAACCTGGCTGCACGACCGGCTGCGAGTGCTGAAGCACACGTGCATCTCCGCACACAGACGGGAGGGCTCTGAAGCATCCCAGCTCCCGCTTTTCATCTATTTTAGTTCAAACGCATCCAATATTTTAGGGATTCTCCATACACTGGTATCCAGAGGGTCTAATCAGGATCAGACCTTCCCCCAAGCATAAAGGCAGGGACCCTGTCCAGACAGTCATCGCAGAAGATACAACACCCAGATAAAGTAGAAAAAGATGGTTTTACTTAAAAGGGGAGGGGAGGAGACCGCTCTAATGGTGATGAGCAACAGAAGCTGCGCAAATGGATTGCTAATTACCATTTCAGACTCAAAATCACTTCACTGAATAAGCACTCTGCCTTTTTTTTCCCCCTTTTACTTAAAGGGGCACCTTTTGCAGGACAAAGAAAAAGGAAACAGAGAATTATAAATGGAGTAAAGAATCCCCCTGCCTTTAGCAGTACCATATGGCAACGAGAGTATATTAATTACCGTTGCTTTTTAATTAACAATTGCTTCATCTGAGCAGTAACATTTCCTTGACATCCCCTGACTTGCCACTAACCTGTAAAGTGCACGTGCCATGCCAAGTCATCAATTCATTTTTATTGACAGCCCCCCCAAACAGGCACAATACCGGCGTTTTCCAATTAACACCTCCACACTCTCTAATTAGCGCAATTAACAAACTGATGGATGCTCAGAGCTTCCCTGCGAGGGAAGGTGCAGATCAGCCGGCCGGGCTGTCGGACACGGCTCCCACCGCGTGCACGTGTGCCCGACACGCGTGTGCCACGCTTCCCGGGGTCCCGCGGGAGCACCACGCGTGTGCTGTACGGCGCAGCCCGGCATCGCCGCGGAGCCTTTCCGAGCCCCGGCAGAAAGGGGAGGATGAACGTGGAGGCGAGCGAGGCGGCGGACTCAAAGCAAAGATTTGCACCAAAGGACACGGGGTCTTTAGGAGCAAGAATAGGAGATGAAGCATTTACAGAGCGGATTTCTTCCCGAAAGCTCCCGATGAATTTTGGGGCATCCAGACCCACCCAAAACGATGCCGCTTCTCCTCCCGATTCAGCTCCACGGACATGAAAATTTAATAGCGCTTCTCAGCCCCTGGGACCCGCAGAGGGAACAGGTAACAGCCAAGACCACGAGCTCCTAAGCAATTGCCTGAACACCTATTTTAGTCGCTTCTCCTATTTTTAAATATCCTCAATACCATGGTCCTCAGGGGCTCCGTAACTTTGGGCTGTCCTTCACGGGCTATTGGCAGGACCGGGGCCACGTACGGACCCAGCATCACGGGCACCCCCTCCCGCTGCCAGCGGGTCCCTGTCCTCGAGCCCCCGTCCCCATCCCCACGCCGGCGGCAGCGGATGCCCCTTGGCCTTGGCTTCCCCAGATGCAAACCCAAAGAGCATCCCCAGCTCAAAACCACCACCTGGGAGGGATGCGGATGAACAGTGGGAACCACTGGTGGGAAAACGCTCCCCTCCACGTCTCCATGAGCTGAGCAAGTCTCTGATGCCGAACCGCGTTTTCCAAGGGACAGCACGGGTGACACCACGCATTTACGAGCGGCCCGCTACCGTGATGCTCCGGAGGCTTTTTCTGCCCTTCCCGCCACATCCTGACCCCAAAGCGGTTTTCCAGACCCTTCCTCCCAGCTCCAGCCTCGCCAGGACCTGGAGGGGAGCAGGGGGCTGCCCCGTGGCACGGCGAGAGCTCTCCCTCCAGCAGCAGGAGCCAGCCGTGCCGGCAGCCTCTTCCAGATGATGGAGGAGCACGGACCGAGCAAATCCCCCAGAGCCGGCAGAAGTTCTGCAGGATGCTCCTCTGCACGGCTGGGAGGAGACGAGGACCCGGGGAGGCTCGATCCCAGGCACCGGATCTGCTCCGAGCTACGGAAAGTTGAGCAACCTGT